CTTTAAGCAAAGACAACGCCAACAACTTCTCGTCCAATGTAAATCGTCTAGCTTTAGGCTTTTGGTTTTGAGTACGGACTTGGCTTAAAATAAAGCTGTATATCAATGGATTGACGTGGTCTACGAGCCTTTGAAATTTGGTTTATGATGCAAGTTATTCAGCAGTAGAAACTTTGGATTTAAATGACGACAACCTTCTACTGATTCTTCTTAACTTATTGCTGGATTCTATAACTTTGGAATAAAGATATTTTTCCCTTGGGGATAGGAATTTTTTGCCTAGTGACGTTAATGTTCTTTAAAATTTGGCATCGTCTCTCATGACCTGCAAAAAAAAAATAGATCAAGATTGGAGACGAGCTTTTCGCACATTTAGCTTCTAATTTTTCTAGCATTCGACTGCAAGTTTTAGTAATTAGTAGTCTTTTATAGTAGTAGTCCTATTTGAGTTAGGATGTTTTAAAATTCACCTACTCCCAACTGGGTGGTTATTCATTAAGCAATAACACTTAGGTACCTACCAATAAAAGTTTTAAGAGACAAAGTGGGTTGGTGACTTTTTCATGTTTGCAGATGTGATGGTTCCACTTGGTGTAGCAATGTCTGCCCGAATTGCAGAAGTTTCAGTAGATAAAAATTGACGACATGAAGGGCCTGGTTGATCTAAAACAGAAATTTCGTTACCAACGATTTTACCAAAAAAGTTTGGATACATGCATTGTAGAATATGGTGTACCTGTATGTAACCAGGAATATTTTAATTATTGTGTCTCCTGATAAAGGAATAAACATTTAAAAAAAAGAAATGAATAATATTAGCTTTGTTCCAACACAGCAGAAAACCGTACAATGTACCGTCACGATTCTGCGCAGAAATTAAAATTGTTATACTGAGTGGTTTCGAAACCGTTCATGGGACGATTTTTTGACGTGTTGGAACAGAGTTATTATGTTTACCTACCTATGTCAATCATAGTTGCGAAACTAATTTCTGAAGGCGTCTTAGGACTCTTCGACGAGTTTCAACTGTGTCGATCTCCACTTTTTGCCATTTTGGTGATTGTGGTTTATCAATTAACGACTCCTTACTGTTTTTGATAATTGGGGCTAAAATTAAAATTAATTTTAATGTTTCTGACCTATGCTCCTTTAAACCCGAATTCTAACACGTTGTCGTTAATCAGAACTATGGGGAGGAATAAGTGAAAATGTAAGTACGTCTTTCTCACATATATCTAGTATTAACTTACCTTCAGGGAGATACAGCAAAAGCGCAGCATTCCATGTGAGTCCTCGTCTGGCTTTTGGATCGCCAACAATAAATTCTCGAGGAAAATGTCTTGTTCACGCTCTATAATTATTATAAGCCTTCTCGACACTGAGGCTATTTAGTAAAGGATTGCGAACTTTTTCTAGCCATTGTTTCATTTTTTCGGCATCTTTTGGAAACCGGAAATAGCTGCTGTATTTGTCGCCGCACCCCGGAACACAGCATTTCTGATGCTTTTCAATTAACAAACTGGGAGAAGACATTTTGAGATAATAATTATTGATAATTGATAGGTAATTGATAATTCTAAATGTTGGGAGTAGTTCAAAATTTAAATTTTGACGACTGGAAATGACAAAATAAACTTCAAATCTTGGCGCACGGTCCGGCAGGAAAAAGAAAACTTTAATAGGTTGATTGAAGCGCCTCTAGTGATTGGAGGGGAAAGCTGAAACGACTAGACTGACGTCTCTCATAAGACTTACATTTCTAAGGGGGGATGTTTTGTGGGTCCATATTCAAAATTTGCAAAAATATGGCTTACCTCTATATTCACCAATGAAATATTTGAAATAAGTAAGAATAATGGCCGCAAGATTTCCATTGAGAACTGGAAAAAAAATTTGTTTAGAAAAAAAAAAAAGGAGGAGTTTTATAATGATAACAAAGAATTTTATTGGCCGAATAACTTTAGATTTTTTTGTCCCTTAATTTCTCATTGGTTGATTGGGTTTATTGGGAATTGGTTGATAAACAGAAAACCATTTTTTGGTAAGAAAAAATAAAGTGGGCGGAGTTTATACTGATAACAAAGAACTTTATTGGCCGAATAACTTAAGTGATCTTTTTTCGTGAATTTGTCATTGGTGTATTGGGATTATTGGAAACACGCGAATGTCGACTTTACATGCAATGATAAGGGCAATCTAATCAATATGGCGACCATGGTCAAACAATGAAAATTATGCCGTACCTACTTAGGTTATTTATTTATTATTTGAACACAAAGCCATTTGTAGTTCTGTTAAGACTTGGAAGAGTTTCAAATTTCACTGAATTCAGTCAGGAACATTGCGAGTAAATTCTTTGAGAAGTTCCAAATTCAAACCAAAAGCCTGGACAAATTAAAATTAGCAAATTTTTCAATGGAATCCGTTAAAAATAGTGTCTAAATTGTTTCGACTCGTTGAAAAGTTTCAAATTTTCATTATTCCTGGCTCTTATTGATTTCAAATCAAAAGTCAATAAAAGTAATAAATTAGTAAAATTCTTTAACAACCAGATTAGTCAGCTCAGTGTAGTTTCAAAAAAGTTTAACAAATTTTACTGAATTCCATGTGAATTCGTTGAGAAATTCCAAATTTAAACCAATAAGAGCCTGGGAAAAATTAAAATTTGCAAATCCTTAAATGAAATCCAATAAAATTCGCGTCTAAATTGTTTCGACACGTTGAAAAGTTTCAAATTTTCCATTATTCCCAGTTCTTTGCAGATGATTCCGGTAGGTAGATACCTACCTATCATTTTATTTCTGGAATTATAAATCCAAATGAGCTGAAATTTTCAGGGAGTGTAATCCTCTACTAGGGTAAGAATCGCTGAAAAATTTAGGTTTCTATCTCTAATAGAAAAAAGTTATGATTTTTCCAGTGGCTGATACAGGCGTTTTAAAAGGGAGGGAGGCAGTTTAAGTTAAAGTAAGCCAGATTGTGGATAAGTTGATTATTGCGAAACTTATCAGCCATCTACACACCAATATTCTGGTTGAACTGTTCAAATAAGACACTCACCTGAAACATGTAGTTTTTGAACTAATGAGAAAAATTCACAACTGAGTGAATCAGGTTAGTATTGTAGGTACTTGAACAGTATATTGGTGAAAAGATGGCTGGGTCCATCCATAAGTTCCGCAACAATGCACTCGTTTGTACTTGAATAACTTATCACAATATATTACTAGTTTGGTAAAGTAACATTACTCATTCCTGTTAAAAGGCGAATTGACAAAAAGTGGATAATCTTACAAATTTTGACTTTATATAATAAGTTGTTGTTCAAGTAGGTACAAATAAGTGGATTATTGCGGAACTTATAGGTTGACCTCTGCGGGACAAGCGCAGCGAGTTCCGCAGCCATCTACTCACCAATATACTATTGAACTGTTCAAGTAAGACATTCACCTGAAACGTGTAGTTTTTAATTTAATGAGAATAACTCACATTTGAGTGAGTCAAGTTAGTATCGTAATTAAACAACATATTGATGAATAGATGGCTGCGGAACTCGCTGCGCTCGTCCCGCAGAGGTTCACCCATAAGTTCCGCAACAATTCACTCATTTGTACTTGAATAACTTGTCACATTATGTTACTAGTTTGGTAAAGTAACATTATTAATTTCTGTTGGAAGGCAAATTGACAAAAAGTGAATAATCTTACAAATTTTGACTTTATATTATAAGTTATTGTTCAAGTACAAATAAGTGAATTATTGCGAAACTTATGGGTGGATCTTTGTGGGACGAGCGCAGCGAGTTCCGCAGCCATCTACTCACCAATATACTGTTAAACTATTCAAATAAGACACTAGACACTCACTTGAAACGTGTAGTTTTTGAACTAATGAGAATAACTGACATTTGAGTGAGTCAGGTTAGTATCGTACTTGAATAACGTATTAATGAATAGATGACTGCGGAACTCATTGCGCTCGTCCCGCAGAGGTTCACCCATAAGTTCCACAACAACTCACTCGTTTGTACTTGAATAACTTGTCACATTATGTTATTAGTTTGGTAAAGTAACATTACTAATTCCTGTTAAAAGGAAGTTATTGTTCAAGTACAGGGTGTTTTTTTTTATATATTGACACCCCACCTACAGCCTTTACCTTTACAAGTAGATGAAAGGTATAAATACAAAAGTTGTACAGTATTAGCTAAATTTTTAGAATCCATGGTCAGAAACAAAAATTGAATGTCAGAAATGTTAAATGTTGCATACTTTCAGCTTTTTTCAAATGGGATGTCCTATATTTGGTTCTATATTCTTGAAGAGCACAATTTCCCGATGCCAAAACTATATAGTTTGTCTATATTTGGTTGAGCCGTCTCCAACATATTTGGTTCTAAAAATTTTAAAAATACTATCAGAAAAATTGATAAATCACCCCAAATTGCTTAACACAATTTTATTTCTGGAACTATAAGTATAAATGAGCTGGGATTGTAGTTCTCTACTTGCATAGGAATCCCTGAAAATTTCAGCTTTCTATCTCTAATAGAAAAAAAGTTATGATTTTTTGAAGTTTACGAAAATCTAAATTATAAGGTAGCTTCCCAGTTTTCTGAAAGCAAAGTCATAACAGGATAAAATTAATCCATAACAATTTAGCAACCTAATTGGAGGGGATAAACCCTGACAATTTGGACAAAAACTGTCCACTAGTTTGAAACTGGAACACCCCAATTATTCAGATTGAATGATGCAAAGTTTATTTGAAACGTGCAAAAAATGAAGTAGGTATCACCCTATGGGTGATGCACTAAGATCCAAGATCCAATAGGTACAATGTATTGAAAAATAATAACATTAACTACTGACGTATCCTGTTCAAATAAAACTGTCTTGATAGCCCAAGAAATTACTTCACAACGGATATTTTAAGCTCTTTCAACTTGAACTATAATTATTTAATCACGACAAGGTTATGCAAATGCTCGAAATGATAAGCAACTAAAATTTGAAATATAATTAGTTTATTTTAAAAAATATGTTCTCTTATGAAGTAATAACTATTATCAACATTTAATACAAAAAATAATGATGTAAAGTACAACACACGGACAGATAAAAAAATATATCACAAAATTAATTAGGTAAAATTTTTAAAGGTTTTTCTCTTATTGACTGAATTGTTTGTGGATGAATTTCGCTATTGTGTTCAACTGTATGTTGCTTGTGCCTTCATAAATACTTCCAATTTTGCAATCCCTGAAACAAATAAAACAGTTTAATTTCAATCAATAATATTCTACACACACATATTTAGTGATTACTTACCTATAGAATTTCTCTTGTGGGAAATCTTTGGTAAATCCTACACCTCCCATCCAATCGATACATTTAACTGTGGCCTGTTGGGCAACTTCGGAAGCAAAAAATTTAGCCATAGCTGCTTCTTTAATATAAGGAACTCCTTGTTCCATCAATCTTGCAGCATTGTACGTCAGCAATCGAGCGCTTTCAATTTGTGTGGCGATTTGAGCAATTTGATGTTGCATTCCCTGGAATTTGAAGTTTTTAACTGGCACAAAGTAATGCATGAAAAATTCCACTCACCTGAAAACTGAAAATTGATTTTCCGAACTGTTTTCTTTCCAAAGTGTATGGTATGGTGGCATCGAAACATCCTTGTGCTATTCCTAACATTTGTGCAGCTATACCTATTCTGCCTTCATTCAATATTTCAATGGCTATTTTGTATCTGTAATAAAATATTGTAAAACCAAGAATCTAACGCATTGAGTCTTTACCCTTGTCCAACTTCTCCAACTATATTGGTGGCGGGAATTTTCACATCTTCCAAAGTCAACATGCAAGTACCAGATGCAACAATACCAAGTTTTTCTTCTGGTTTATTTATTGTAAATCCAGGTGTATCTCTGTCTACAATGAAGCATGTAATGCCTCTGTAGCCCTAAATTTTTAAGTCATTTAATTTGTTGTAATTGTATGAGAATGTTACCTTTGAAGTATCCACATTAGCCATAATCAAGAAAACACCAGCCAAATCCGAATTAGAAATCCACATTTTCGATCCATTTAAAACATAATCGTTTCCGACTTTTTTTGCAGTAGTTTTCAAAGCAAACGCATCACTTCCTGAAGATGGCTCTGTGAGAGCGAAACTTCCCACCATATCTGTGCAAAGTCTGGTAAGGTACTTGTCCTTTTGCTCTTTGTTTCCGTAATTGGTAAATACGGAATTCACCAAAGTGTTATGGATATCTACAAGGGCTGCCACAGAGGCGTCTACTTTCGATAACTCTTCTACGATTAGAACTGCTGTTAAAAAGTTGCAGTCTGAGCCGTTGTATTCTGCTGGAGTATGGATACCCATCAGCTAGAAAATGTAGTTATTTATACCAGATTGGTATTAACCTTTTCCAATATTATTTTGTAAAATACCAAAACACTAATGGAATTTTCAAAGTTTAAAATTAGGCATGCAACTTCTTGTTCTAACAATTATTTTTTGAACAAATAAACAATTATCTGTATCAATTTACACAGTTTATAGACCCAATTTAAAATACTTTGCTCTTATCAATTTACTGTAAATTATTTAAAATAATATGATAATGATCTGTTGCAATTTTAACAAAAGCATTATATGATGTTAGTTATAGAACTGATAATTTGATGGAAAATATTTAACAGATAAGATAAGTACATTATTTTCCTTACCCCATTTTGGAAAAGTAATTCAAGAACAGGTTTTGTGATTTTCTTTTCGGTTTCCATTTGCTTCACATGAGGTAGAATTTGTTCTTTCGATAGTCTACCCACTGAGAAAAAGAAAATGTTTCATTAATTTCTATTAATTGGTATTGGTACCTCAGTATAGACAACTTACCTGTTTCTTGCATAGCTTTTTCATCTTCAGATAAACAAGTTAAGGGTAAGTTGTTACCAGCGACTTGGCAATTTTTGGCCGAAACAAAGAAGTTTCTGATGCCAATTTGTTTGGAACTTTTGAGTACCTGAAATATCATTTGCATTTTTTCAGATCAGATATCATTATATTATGAGCTTAAGTTCAAAGTCCAAAGTAGATCAAAATAGTCATTATAATTTATTTATAATGTGTTATTTGACACCCAATTTTTATCAGAAAATTCCACTTTGTAGCTGAAATTATCTTCATTTTGTGGAACATAAAATATTTTTGTACCATTTTTCTATAATAAAATGGGTTCATGGCTTTTACGTTATTTAACGGATTAATACCTAATTGTCCTTTTATTATCAAAAATAAATAGGCAAGTTTGAGATTTCATAGAACTACTAGAACAAATTTATCCTAAACCCTTAAATTTATCTTTTAATCCCTAAAGTTTGGGTAGTACCGTAGCAGATATAAAAAAAAGTACCACCAATTAGTACTGTATAGGTACGTACCTGTCTTGCAACTGTTGCCATGATGCGTACACTACGAGGTCTACCACTAAAATGAGAATGATGAATGATTGATCCCGTTTCAGCGTCGTCGGAGACCTTTCGACTGATTTAAAAGCAACACCCTCAAAAGACGATTTCGCTTTTATCTTCTGAATTTCGAAACTTGTTTTTCACTTATCAGTACTGCTGGGTCTCCTTCTGACGTACAAAGTGACTGGTACCGGAATTTACAAGTTAATAATTATAACCACTATCATTTAAAACTTGGGCTTGATTTCAAAATAGAATTGATAATAGTACTATTTATCTAGTATCCTATATCGTGTCAGTGATGTAGGAACCTAAGCCGGTTTGAAGGTTACTTATACTTAGTACGTATTTAGTACCTACCTATTAAGGTATAATGAATAACATTATTTTCATGTGTTTTTACATGAAAACTGTTGATATTTATGTTTTTATTGTTATCAATCCTACCTATTGAAAATTTCGAAAAAGTACTGATAATGATCATCATAACTTGACTTTTGAAATTTGACTAATTTGAGCCTTCTTTTTATCTTTGCGAAATTATTTTGGCTGCATATTATGATTGAATTATTATTTATTGATCCCCCAAACTCCATATAATAAATTATTCTGAGATTTTAAGCCGAAATCTATGAAAAAAAGGCACTCAGAAAAATTGAAAAATTGATAAATCACCCCAAATTGCTTAACACGATTTTATCTCAGGAAGTATAAGTGCAAATGAGCTGAAATTTTCAGGGATTGTAGTCCATTGATTGGGATAAAATTCAGTGAAAGTTTCAGCTTTCTATCTATAATAGAAAAAAGTTACGACCTTTCAAAGTTTTCCAAAATCTAAATCATAATTAAAACCAACCCGGAGGTGACTCGATATTGAAAAATTGGCCCACAGGGACGAAAAAATGTAGCAACCCTGGCACAAAAATTGCAGCAACCCTGACGCAAACGTCAAAAAATTTGATATGTCAAAGTCAAAGTAGGCCTTGTAATTTTTGACAATTAATTCAAAATGGCGTTTGTTTGTTTTTTGTTTTGAGAGCCCCCTTTTTTTTCATTCGGAGCCGCGTTTTTTCTGCTTAATTTAGTGTTTTTTAAGTGCAAAGTAGCTCTTACACCCTCTGAGTAGGACAAAGAAAGATATAAAGTAGGATGTAATTCAAGTGCTCACTTTTTTTAAAAGAGGCGGAAAAACTTTATCTACACCTAATTTTAGTATTTAAAACTAGAAATTTTTGGATGAAAATGAAAAAAATTCAAAGCCTCATACTTAAAATCGGTTTTCCTGATCAAAAAAGCACTGGAAAAGCAGAAAATCCAAAGAAAATCCCGTAAAAATGACAATCTAGAGTCTACTTAATAAAACTTGAGTTTTTGTCACTTAACCCAATGGAAAACTGGAAATTTTTGGCAAAAAATGAAGAAAGTTCAAAGTATCGTCTTATCAATCGGTTTTCCCAATTGAAAACGACATGGAAAAGCGGAAAATTCGAGGAAAAACTGGATAAAAACATTTAAAAATGACCGACTGTGAAAACTGGGAAATAACATTGTGCGACGTTGCCACATCTCAAATAGGAAAAAATTACATTTTAAATAGTTTTTTGTTTAAATAATCAATTATGAATGTTTATGAAATGATAAATTCCGAAAATAATGCATTGAAATCTTATCTTTAATAAATTTCAATAAAAATGACATTCCAAGGCCTGCTTAATAGTAAATAAGACAAAGAGGGAGATAAAGTAGGAAATAATTTAAGTCTAAAAATGAAAGAATTGAAAAATCAAAGTTTTGGTCACTTACTCCATTGGAAAACTGGAAATTTTTGGTGGAAAATGGAGAAAACTCAAAGCCTCGAACTTTAAAACCGTTTTCCCGATTGAAAACGGCCTGGAAAAGCGGAAGATTCGATGAAAAACTGGATAAAAATGTACACTAGTCAATTGAAAATGGCCGACTGTCAAAAATGGCAAATGACATTTATTACAAGGTCTACTTGAAGTTGGCTACAAGCGGTGTTGCCACATCACAAAACTTCCAAAAAAAATCATTTAAAATGGGTTTCTACTTGTAATTTAATAATTAAAATCTCGTTAAATAATTAATTAATAACGATTTTAAAATTAGAAATTCCTTGAATAAGGCCTCAAAAGCTTGCTTTTCAATAATTTTTTCTCACTTACCTTTTGACCGTAAATTAATGGATCTAAAACTGGAAATTTCTAGCAGAAAATGGAGAAAACTCGAAGCCTCGTAGGTTTAAACCAGTTTTTCCGACTAAAAAAACCCTGGAAAAGTGGAAAATTCGAGGAAAACCTGGATAAAAATGTAAACACGACACTTCAAAATGGTCGACTAATAATTTGATAGTGAGTAAGACAAAGAGAGAGATAAAGTAGGATACTATTTTAGTCTAAAAATGGCAATTTTTTTCTGAAAAATTGAAGGAAATTTAAAGCCTCGCACTCAAAACAGTCTCCGATTAAAGAAGCCTTGGAAAAGTAGAAAATTTAATGGAAAACCAACATTCTAAAGCCGACTTGATCAAACCAAGGTTCTGGTCACTTACCTCGGAAAACTGGAAATTTTTGTCAGAAAATGAAGGAAACTCAAAGCCTCGTACTTTAAACAAAAGTTTTTTTGATTGAAAAATCCTTGAAAAACCGGAAAATTCAAGGAAAAGCTGGATAAAAACACTCGGCTGTCAAAAGTGGCAAATGACATTACATTACAAGGCCTACTTGATCGAAAACAACGTTGCCACATTCACAATCTCAAATAGAATGTTTTTCCTCTTTTTCCAATAAACAAATTTCATTTTTAATGTAAATTTGACTGCATTTTTAGCAAGAATAGTAAGACGAAGAAGTAGATAAGGTAGGATAAGTTTGCAAAAACAACAAATGCGGTTATAAATGAGTGAAACAAAGAAGGAGATGTACTTCAAGTACTCATAGTCGGGGAGCTGGCATCGAAAATATGCAAGAGTTTTCGCAAGGCTCATATTTTCAGAATGAGTAGCATTTTAGTACTACAAAGCTAGGCTACAGTCAGCAGTTCCAGTTCCGGGACACCTGGCGCTGAGATGCGCGCAAAGGTGTATTTTTAATCAACACCTCGCAACAGTTTTCGCAAAGCTGAAAATTTGCAAAGAACATGCGAATATAATGTAGAACCATAATTTAACAGTCAGACAAAGAAATACGGGGACACGTAGAGTCAGCGCGACTTTGAAGTGGTCAAAAAAATGACGTCACCGAAAGTGTTTTCGCATGGCTGAAATTTGGCAAGGTAATAGTAAAAACAATATATTTATTGAAAAAAACAGTCAGACACTTCTATGTCGGGACCCCGTCAGTCAGCAGTCGATTAGAGTGATATAGGTGGTACCGCGTCATTAGGCATATATCCATGTCGAATAATAATTTCACCAAAAGAGTTTTCGCATAGCTGAAATTTGGCAAGGTAATAGTAAAAACAATATATTTATTGAAAAAAACAGTCAGACACTTCTATGTCGGGACCCCGCCAGTCAGCAGTCGATTAGAGTGATATAGGTGGTAGCGCGCGTCAATAGGCATATATCCATGTCGAATAATAATTTCACCAAAAGTGTTTTCGCATAGCTGAAATTTGGCAAGGTAATAGTAAAAACAATATATTTATTGAAAAAAACAGTCAGAGACTTCTATGTCGGGACCCCGCCAGTCAGCAGTCGATTAAAGTGATATAGGTGGTAGCGCGCGTCAATAGGCATATATCCATGTCGAATAATAATTTCACCAAAAGTGTTTTCGCATAGCTGAAATTTGGCAAGGTAATAGTAAAAACAATATATTTATTGAAAAACACAGTCAGACACTTCTATGTCGGGACCCCGCCAGTCAGCAGTCGATTAGAGTGATATAGGTGGTACCGCGTCATTAGGCATATATCCATGTCGAATAATAATTTCACCAAAAGTGTTTTCGCATAGCTGAAATTTGGCAAGGTAATAGTAAAAACAATATATTTATTGAAAAAAACAGTCAGACACTTCTATGTCGGGACCCCGCCAGTCAGCAGTCGATTAGAGTGATATAGGTGGTAGCGCGCGTCAATAGGCATATATCCATGTCGAATAATAATTTCACCAAAAGTGTTTTCCATAGCTGAAATTTGGCAAGGTAATAGTAAAAACAATATATTTATTGAAAAAAACAGTCAGACACTTCTATGTCGGGACTCCCTCAGTCAGCAGTCGATTAAAATGATATAGGTGGTAGCGCGCGTCAATAGAATTTTACTCTATATATAATATCCATTTCGATGAATAATTTTATTTTTATAATTTAAATTATTTGGAATCGGAAACGGTAAAATAAAATTGTACATGCAGTTAAAAAGTTTGCGGTTAGAAAAAAGCCCGATTCGTATAAATATTACTTGACCATTTAATCAGCAGTACTGTGATAGTATACCTATAGTAAGTTTTATTAAATACTTATAATCGTCGCCGATTTTATAAAATACAAAAAAAAAAAATTCTAATCACATCTGCCGCTTCCCTTCTCCTAATCTCGACCTAACAGTACCATAATGAAGTTTCCGAATTCGAATGCATATACGCCTTATTCAAGTATACGCGCTTACGCTTGCAACTTACAGGTTTACACTTACTCATTAAGAGAAAAGAAAATGTATTTTACCGTTTCCGATTCCAAATAATTTAAATTATAGAAATAAAATTATTCATCGAAATGGATATATATATAGAGTAAAATTCTATTGACGCGCGCTACCACCTATATCACTTTAATCGACTGCTGACTGAGGGAGTCCCAACATAGAAGTGTCTGACTGTTTTTTTCAATAAATATATTGTTTTTACTATTACCTTGCCAAATTTCAGCTATGCGAAAACACTTTTGGTGAAATTATTATTCGACATGGTTATATGCCTATTGACGCGCGCTACCACCTATATCACTTTAATCGACTGCTGACTGGCGGGGTCCCGACATAGAAGTGTCTGACTGTTTTTTTCAATAAATATATTGTTTTTACTATTACCTTGCCAAATTTCAGCCATGCGAAAACACTTTCGGTGACGTCATTTTTTTGACCACTTCAAAGTCGCGCTGACTCTACGTGTCCCCGTATTTCTTTGTCTGACTGTTAAATTATGGTTCTACATTATATTCGCATGCTCTTTGCAAATTTTCAGCTTTGCGAAAACTGTTGCGAGGTGTTGATTAAAAATACACCTTTGCGCGCATCTCAGCGCCAGGTGTCCCGGAACTGGAACTGCTGACTGTAGCCTAGCTTTGTAGCACTAAAATACTACTCATTCTGAAAATATGAGCCTTGCGAAAACTCTTGCATATTTTCGACGCCAGCTCCTGGACTATCAGTTTCAGAGGTAGCTTGCGATTCCACCAACTGTGACCTTGTCACTGCTTCACCGATGCAGATGCAGCGCGGACTCCTGTTTAATTTAACAACAGTGCTTGTTCTACCATTCCACCACGGTGCCTACACCAGCTGAATTTAGCCACACGCGGTTTATATCCTAATGGTCAATCAACACCCCCCAAACTCCATACACTAAATTATTCGCAGATTTGAAGCCGAAATCTATGAAAAAAGGCACTCAGAAAAATTGAAAAATTGATAAATCACTCCAAATTGCTTAAGATAAGAAACTTGTTGAAATATTCGGATTATTCGTTTCTATTTATAACCCTAATTTGAGTAATCAATTGCAATGAAACAGACTACAGTTTATCGTTTAATTTTGAAATTATTATCAGACCCCCTCTAGAGTCACATTTCGCAAAACACACTATAACAAGGTTATCAAGTAAATATTTCATATAGGTATAGGTATTGAAATAAACTATGGACGATTTCATGTTATAATATCTTATCTGATAATAATAATTAAGATTTGAAGGATTTGAACTATGTATTTAGTTTCTTCTGTCAGCAGCTTCTCATGTTTTCCATGCTTTTTGGCTTTTGTTAGCCTTTCTAGGTCTTTTGACCACCATTCAAGATTGTGTTTGTTTATATTTTGTCTTGAATATAAATAATAAACGGTTATTTGCCCATGTAGGTATAATTTCTAATATGGAAATTGGAAATGGTAGATTCAATTCAATTCAATTCAATTCAATTAATTCAATAATCATTCTACAAAGAAAATATAAATATCCAGTATGAGGTTTCACATAATTTAAAATTTAGCACCTAGGTTTGAACCCGTATGTGCTCTTTGTTACATAAAATGATATAAATTTTATCACAGCTAGGCTTTTGAGTATTTCACTAAAATTAAAATTTCAATATTAACTAAAAACCGAGAATAAAAGTAGATAAATATATATAGACTGTTCAAATAAAAACAATAACATTTAACAAATAATTACATCCAAATTAGCAAGGTGCATACAATTTAAAACAATTCAGTGAAATAATAATTAGGATTTTCAAAAAAGAAACTCTTAAATTTAGCTTTAAAGCGCATTTTTTCTTTGGTATTTCTTATTTCTAATGGTATCCTATTATAAAGTTTTGGACCCAAATAACTTGCAAAATGTTGTCCCAAACTATTGTTACAAAAAGTTGTATTTTAAAAGACGATTTTCATTACCTCTAGTGCTGTAGTTAGGACTAATATATTGTGACACATAGGTACCTACTTACTATTAATATGAACAAAATTACACACACTTAAAATATATAGACTTTTTACATTAATAATTTCACCAGAGTATAGTAAACTAGTAGGATACAATCTTGCCATATTGAGTACAATTTTAATAATGTAATTTTGTATTTTCTTTAGTTGTTCCAGATATATATTATATTCTCACAAGGTTTGAAGTTGATAATTTTCAAAGGCAAAAGTCAGAAATGAATACTTTGCCGCACAACCGTACACATTAAACAGATTTTGTGTGGACATTTCTACTTTCTCATGCTGGAACTGAAAGCGCTCTAGTCCACATCTCAGCTTCCATAAAAAATCCTAAAGAAAGTTTAAAGAATTGAGGAACAGAAAACCGCAGACTTATGAAGAAGTATCTCAACAATAGCGAGAGCACAGAACACAATAATTAATTCAAGAAGCCATCGAAAAGTTAAAACGAAGACAAAATGAAGAATGACCAAGGAGAGGTTGCCAGCCTAAAATGTTTACGCAAAGTTATATGTGTAAAGCTCCAGGATTTCAGATCAGAGCAATGAAAGACACTCCAGAGATTGCAGAAATAACAAACAGTTTTTTCCACTTTTCATCTCTATAAACTGTTAGTTTTTTTTTTTACTATCGTTCACTGTCCAACGACTCACATATGGGTCGTTGAGTCGATAAATTAGACGTACGGGTAAGAGCTTTTTCGCATACAGTATACAGTGGACTCTATAGAGCAAAAAAAAAGCTACATTTTGGTAAAAAATTAGCACAAAATTAGTATATTTAATAAAATAATTGATTTTTTATTTATTCTTGTTCAAATTAAAAGGCGACCCTTCATCATTAAAACTGATCAAACTCTCACTCTGCTCGTCATCTTCAAATTGCGAATAAATTATTCCTTGTTTAGAATATTTTTTCAATTCTTGAGTACCCTCGGTGACAGTGGAACATAGAGCCGGTCTGGTTTTAATAGGTTGCTTATCTTCGCATTTCAAACATTGACAATAAAAGTGGATTCGCGTTTTGAGAATGTCGTTTTCCGAAATTAAATATTCGCGTTGTTCGTTTACGGCTGCACGTTCGGCTTCGGCTTGTCCGACCCTTTGCCAAAATAAATCCATCGATGGCATGTAGTCTTCGATGTCGGTCAAACTGGGTCTGCACATTTCGTTGACGAAATTTACTGGGAAAGGCATAATTTTTTCGCTAAGTGTTTCCAGCTTTCTGCAAACGCTAGCCGCTTGGAAAACATGTTTTCCTTTAATAAATACTTCATCCAAATAAGAAATAGTTTCATTATAGTTAAACGTTAAGCAATTGATTTTTTGGAAGTCAATTTCTCTATCTGTGGCTAATTTTTTTTTTAGAGTATCAAAAACCATGAAGAAAAAATCAAATTCTGATTGCAAGTCTGCCACTTTTCTTTCTAGAAACTTTTCCAATTCTCTTTTTTTTATTTCTAGTCCACGAATAATATCGTTACATGCACGAATATGTTCTAGTTGGTTTATTATTAATTTTTGCAACTTATCATCCACAGTTTTCAATTTAGAATTTATCTGTTTACGATCTTTTATCTGAACTTGGTAATCTTCGACAAACTTAACCGTCTTGGCCCACAATTGTAAATGTTTTTCTTCTAAATCGTGACGGATTCTGTGAACCAGCGTTTGGTGTTTCGAGTATTGCTCTTCTAATTTCGAGTAATACTCGGCGTGTCTTGTACGTTTGACTTCGCGCATTTCCATTTGCAATAAGTAAAGCATCGTTTTTAAATAATTTGTTTCCTCTTTTCTTTCTACGTCAAGGTGCTTGGCATTGTTCATGTGCTCGTTTTGCATCTCGTCAGCCTGAAATTGTCCATAGAAACCTAATATAAATGTTCTTGAACTTGAAGTTTTAACTCTTATTAGGGCTAAAATTGGTCCAGCTTGTATTTATTAGTAAGATATACCTACCTGTTTTTTATAATCGTCATTGAGTTCGTGCATTCTATCATCAAACATTTGAATCAGCTTATTAATATGTTCCATGTGTGTTACCAAATTTAAAGACCCTTGCTGTTTGGCCATATCGAGTTCGTCCAATAATAAGGATATAGCAAAATCCTTGCAATCGGCAACCCTTTCAAAATTATACCAAGCAAACTCTAAATCCTTGAGCATATCCGGCATAGCTATATCGATGAGCATTTTCCTCCAATTTTGTTCCTGTCTTCTTAGAGTCACGGCTCCATATTTGAGTTCGCGCTCTAGCTGATCGCGTTTGAGCTGTTTGCGTTTCTCAATTTGCCTGGCTTTCTTTTCGGCTCGTTTGTTAGCTTGGCGAGCTTTCTTTTCTTCGGGAGTCAATTTTGGAGGCATGGTTAGTTATTGTAAAATTGACAAATAATTGAATTGTCAATTAATTGCAATCAATCAATAATAGTCAAAGTGGTTCTATAATGATCAGTATCTTTCATAACTTCTCAATGATAACTTCAGGTATTCTCCTCCGGGGTGTTGGTGAGCAGCTGCAGCTGACCAGCATGTTGAGATTTTATCTTTAGAACTAATGAGTGTTCAAATAAGAGTTTCCGGATGTTTTTTCAATTCAAATATTCAAATGAAAAGCAAACTAGGGAACATTTAATACTTTATAGCAATAAGTAAGATGATCGTTTACAATTTATACATGAAACAATATCCAACAAATGGTCACCGCGACTTCTCTCACAGTACACAATTTTCGATCACATCTGTGCACATTTCCGGTGGTAGGTATCTCACGAATAATGTGCCGAATCTCATCTTTTAACTCTTGAATTAGGCACTAGCAATCTGTGGCACTAGCGGACGTCACACACATATAACCTAAACTTCCGTTGGGGGGACAAACAAAGCGTTTGAAAAGGTCTATAGGGCAATCCAACGGCTTGTCAAAATGGAATTCAAAATGGAGGCCAATGCCTTTTTTCTACTAATAATTTCTTAAACTAAAAACTTTCCATCTTAGAATACGAAAATTATCCTCTCAAACACTAGAAAATCATCTAAAAGCACCAAAAAATACACAAAAATCAGTTTTTTGATGAAAAATGTCACGATTGCTTGAATTAAATTTATGGCGCTAATTTTTTGGCATTGGCCATGCATTGACCACCATTTTGTTTGGATTGCCCTATTTAACACACAGGCACTAGCTTGTCACCAATGACATATCGAGACTTCCGATAGGGGGATAAACGTGTCATTGAGGTTATGTGCGTGACGTCAGCTAGCACCTATAATTAGTCGTAGATTATTCACATACGCTTCACATACGCTTCACATGCGCTTCACTTTTGATGTAACCCCACAAAAAAAATCTTAGTGGCGTTAGATCGCAAGATTCAGGCGGCCACTTAACATCCCCATTTCTTGGAAGAAGTTGTAAACCTTCAAACCGCGTTTGCAATAAGTCAATGTTCAATTCTCTTGCTGTGTGACATGTTGCGCCACTGCACATGAGCACCACCATAACCAGTGGTGCGATACGATAATTTTATCAACGGGTATATTTCTAAAGGTTGTAGCAAATGTCCATGTGTCCATTCTAAACTCACGACCTCCAAGGAAAGCCTCGCCATATTCTTGCTAATTTTAAATAGGAATCTAGAGGTAAACCACGCCCCCGTCGCCATATTTTTGTTTATTTTCTATATAAATATATGGGATTTTAAAGAACCAATACAAAAGAGGGCAGCAATTGTCGCCACTGTGGTTTATTGAGTCACTGTAAAGGCCACGATTTTAAAGCGCCACTTGTAAGCGCCTGGCGCATTTTCCAAAATTTAAGGCGCCATTTCAATTTGCACCTGGCAATACTGCATGAGTTAGTCGAAATTGGGCTACAGTATTTAAGTGTGGAAGGAATGAGACTCTAATATAGACAAATAATAATGGACTTGAGTATCATAAATTATGTCTCTGGTATTTCGTTTGATGAAACCTACAAGTCTAGAGGCGTTTTCTCGCGGGGCAAATGGTTCAAACTACGGTTTGAACCAATTTGTAGATGACGTCATCACTTGTGAATGCGAGAAAATGGAAGGTTTGAACCACAGTCTTATGTCAACGGAGAACAAGCCATGAGTCCGGTTCGAACTTTGTTGAACCAGGTTAAATGTGACGTCACTGGTTCAACGCAAAAATGTTGTCGATATTGTTTTTATTGAAATAAAGGTCTTTTTGAAAGGTGACTCTCTGAAGGTGTCGACTTTCAGATTGGCGTTGTTGATGGTGTACTTGTGGGCAGTATAGGATTTATCGTCTTGTGAGAAATCATGTGTTAGCAATGGTCGAAGGTTAGCACTTACTAACATTGACTTTGAGTAGGTTTGAGTTCCACCAAAGCGACTAACCTGTACAAATCCGGCTGGAGGTAGGTTGCCAACTTGGTAGAATTTTCACTAGTTCTAGTGGATTTGAAAGTCGTCTGGTGGAATGGTTTTAGCAAATTCCACTGTAGTGGTAAATTTAATGGGAATGGGAATATGATCCACTGTTTCTTGTGAATTTTTAGCTCAATGATTTTTAGTGATAGGTACTTCGCGTCCATTAATTCTCGATACCTAATTCTTTTTAAAATTTCGAAATAACGTATTCGTATAGGATTCCTGATTCCTGTTAATTTCCAGAAGGCACCTACAGGATTGCTTATCGGCCTCGTTTCTGATAATCGCCGCCATATTGGTGTGTCACCATTTCCGACGTCATAACTAAGTCGTCAGCTGTTTAAACAGCCTACGTCAAGGCGAGAAATAACATGCTGCCTACGTCACAACTGGTGATTTGGCAAGGGAGGATTTGTCACACACACCTTAATGAGGATAGGCCGTCCTGCTGTGGTAGCATTGTGCATAGATTTAGTATGTATCATCCTTGCCTATTTTTGTGGGCTTGTCACAAGGAGAATACCTACACACTTTAAGGAGTGCTTATCCAAGGATGATACACACCACTACTACAGGATGGCCTATACTAATAAGGCCTGTGTGTAACAAATCCCCCCTTCCCCCAACCGTCAAAATACCAGTTGTGACGTAGGCAGCATGTTATTTCTCGCCTTGACGTAGGCTGTTTAAACAGCTGATGACGTTATGACGTCGGGGCAATGGTGGCAAACCAATATGGTGGCGATTACCAAAAACGAGGTCGATAAGCACTCCTTAGAGTGTGTATTATTCTCTTTGGTGTTTATCGGCCTCGTTTTCGGTAATCGCCGCCATATTAGTGTGATACCATTTCCGATGTCATATTTAAGTCGTCAGCTGTTTAAACAGCCTACGTTAAGGCGAGAAATAACATGCTGCTTACGTCACAACTGGTATTTTGGCCGTAGAGGAGGGAAGGGGGCATTTGTTACACACAGGCCTTATAAGAATAGGCCATCCTTTAGTAGTAGTGTGTTACTGTGTATCATCCTTGGGCTTGTCATATTATCGTAGGTATGTCAATCTTGTCAATGATGCTTTCATGTCAACTGTCAACATTATCATTTCCAAACTTCAAATCAAGTAAACCCGGCTCTCATGATGTTTATAAAACCATGAGAGTCTCATGCGGCTGTAACATAATCTAAGAAATAAAGAAAAGTAACTTAACTAACACGACACAACACAACACAACACAACATAGTAGATGATGCCTAGATGGCGTTGAGTATCCATATTTTTTAGAACTAATAAACAATAAAAAAGATATCAGGAATGCTAAAAATTTCCAGAAACACTGGGAAAAATTTAGTAGATTTTCGATTAGTCCAAACATTTTTCGCCGGCGGCGCCATTTTTTCTCTCCTAGTGGGTTTTAGTAGACTTAAATCTCTTTTCTAGTGGACAGTCTTGGTTCAGAGCTGGTAACACTGAAGGTAGAGTGCCCGTCCACAACTGCGAAAAACTTCAAGTATAGTAAGCAGATGAGGGATGATTGGAAGCATTGGATGACGTCATTTATGAAAAGAACAAAATGAATCGGTCCCGTGTGCGATTGCTGAGGAACCCCGGATGGAACTATGAACTCGTGGGATGCTGCACTGCACACACCAACTCTTTGACATCTATTTCGTTGAGCATGATTATATAAATTTTAAGGAACATGCACCGAAGCCCATATCTGAGAGTTTTTTTTGTAACAACTTATGGCACACACTACCAAAGGCCTATAATATGTCCGTGAAGATCACGTCCACCTGTTTTCCTGATTCCAAAGCTTTCGTTAGCATAAAAGATCATTTTTGATTTTGAGTTCTGAAATGAACTTTCATCCTATGGTAAGTATAGCCTATACTAAGGGCGGGTATTGTAAAACTATTTTGACAGATAGCAAAAAGTTAACTTGTGGAATAACTATGGGAAGTAACGTCATTCCATAAGTTAACTTTTAAGTTAACTGTCAAAATACCCACCCGGATATATTGAACTGTCGAACCGATCCAAAATCCTTCACAAATCTCTACTGAGTATTTTCAATGCAGCTTCAATAGTTTCGTAGCTGCAAAGCTTTAAAGGAGGAAATTTTTTTTTTAACAAGGTCTGGAGTAAACCACCCCTCCGAATTTGTTCAAACAATTCTTAAACTTCCTGCAAATTCCTCCTAAGGATCCAAAAACTCCTCCAAAGGATCCAAAAACTCCTCCAAATTGCCTGTAAATTCCTCCAAACTGCTCGCAAATTCCCTGCGAAAGCCTGTTACAAATTCCCTAAAATTCCCAAAATTGTTCGTGATAAGAAATGTATTTTTCTATTCTTATTACATTCAGTGTTAAAACCAATTAATTTCCCCAATTTCTTATACATTCCTCCAATTTCCTATAAATTCCTTCAAATTCCCCACATATTCTTCCAAATTCCCCACAAATTTCTCTAAATTCCCGTCATACTTCCCTAACTCCCTCTTCATCAAATTCTGGGCCTGCGAGTGACGTCACTATCAGCAGCTTTTAGTGAAGACGTAACTCGCAGACCTCGATGGAATGCTTGCAATTCAGGCTGTGGTAGTAAGTTAATTTTTTCGTCGATTTTAAATGTAGAAAAGGTGATTTTCGGTCTGTTTTCACAGAAGAAATTAAGTGTTTTTGATCCTCGAGTATCCCAGAATTTGATGGTGGGGGAGTATGACACATATGATACATCACATAATCCAGCAAAAGGTTATCCTCGCGAAAAAATCCCTATAAAGTCGCTGTTAGGGCCGGTTTCTCAATAGCAGGTCACCCCCGGGTTAAGCATAACTCCAGGGTAAACAGCAACTGGACACGGAGGTGACTCGTTATTGAGTAACCGGCCCTAAAGGTGGGTTTCTCAATAGCGAGTCGCCTCCGGGTTAATTTTAATTCCAGGGTAAACGTGTCCAGTTGCAATGTTTACCCTGAAGTTATGCTCAACCGGGGAGTTACTTGCTATTGAGAAACCGGCCCTAAGAGCCATAAGTGTCCTAAAACGCCTATAGCCTAGTACTCATAACTTCGAAATTCGCTCTTTTTTGACATTGTTTCGACAATTTGACGTTTGATTCACGCATTAAACGTCAAATTGTCGAAGCAATAGGCGATTTCGGTAAGCTTTGGTACATGGTTTGTTACCCCGTTTGGTCTGTCAAATGCATACCAACCAATTTCGGATACGAAAATGATGTCGTCACCGTGACTTTGGTATCCTTTTTGGTCTGTCAAATAGGATACCATGGTCAGCAGCACGGTTCTTCTATTTGGTATAGTGCTATCTTATCTACGTCTATTTTCGTTTTGTCCTGCTCTGGGAAATGTAAATAAATGGAAGTTCATTAGAATTTGAATAATTTGACATTTTTAACAAATATGTTTGTTTTTTCGCCTTTATCTTTCTGTTTTCTCGTATGTTTTGACTGCCAAATAATGTTTGACGATCATTTGAAAAATCGCTTTGAACGACAGATATGGGGTAACTTTTTTGCTGAATGGATTATGGAATAAGCTTTAAATTTACAGAAAAGCTGAGTTAGCCAATAGGTTACTCAAAGGTACTGTCTAGACAGTGCTGATTAGTGATTATAGATTTAAGTCAGTGCAGTCAGTATCTAGTCACTCCCAAAACTAGAAGAACAACACAAAGTTAGGTGGCTCGTCTCTTCCTCTCTCTCATGACTTACTAAACGAATTCGGAACAAAATGGTATCTTACGTCATTACTATGACGTTGCAGGTACCAATTGGTTAACCAAATGGTATACCAACCAAAGCTTGCCGAAATCTCCTAATGTCAAAAAAGTGCGAATTTCGCAGTTATGAATACAACGCTTAAAACCCTACCGATTTTGAAAAAAAATGGACAAGTTGATAGAGATGTTCTTCATCACCTATCACCTGTCAAAGACTGAATGTGGAACCCTATCGAAAATCTTCAGAAGAAAAATTCAATTTCAAGTTAAGGTCGTATATCTGAAGTGTAGACCGAAGCCAAATTTTATTCTATTAAAATTTGAAAATGCAGTTTGCCGATTAATATAAAATGTGAACATTTTCATGATAATAATCATCGATTAACTTTTTTAATCACTCTGAGGAAAGTTGAAAAATCGCAAATATAGCACTTATGAATACGTCACAACCACAGCATAGCTAACCTTTATTTGCTTACAGTCTGTAAACCAGTGAATAATTTTCACTGTCATTAGAGTGTCATCTGTCATTGTGACTTTACTACTCCCTTGTTTATTTTTTTTCCTATATATAATTTCATTTCCTATAAATAATTAAAATTTCTAGACCCACAGTGAAAATTAGTTTATGCCAAGGCAATTAGCAATACACAGGAAATATGCCGATGCTTGTCGAGGACAACAACAACGAAATCCGTGCGAAAATCGCCTATAGCGGTGAAATTTTAATAATCTACATAAAACGTACCATAACGCTAGAAGAATTGTGCCACGAAATACGTGAAATATGTAGGTTTTCGCACGACCAAGTTTTCACAATGAAATGGGTCGACGAAGAAGGCGATCCCTGTACGATATCGACTCAATTAGAATTGGACGAAGCCCTCAGGTTATACGAGATTAACAAAGACTCGGAGCTGACCGTTCATGTATTTCCTAACGCTCCGACTCAACCAGGAATGCCTTGCCAAGGAGAAGACAGGAGTATTTATCGACGAGGAGCTAGACGCTGGAGGAAATTATACAGAGTAAACGGACATACATTTCAAGCTAAACGGTTCAATAGACGTGCATTTTGTGCTTATTGTCATGACAGAATTTGGGGCCTTGGACGACAAGGCTTCAAATGTATTCAGTGTAAATTGCTAGTTCATAAAAAGTGCCACAAAGCTGTGAATGTTCCTTGTAGCATTGACCATAATAGAGACACACTTTCCAGAGAAGAGCCACAAGAACTCAATGGGGAAACTCAAAGTTTAAGCAACCAAAGCACAGATATTAATCAGGATTCTGTAAGGGAGTATACTGAATCACCTCCAGATGTTACAGGCGAATCTGTTCCTGTAGAGGATCCAAATAGGCCTTTGGAGGAATTAGAGCCTGGTTCACAAAGACAATATTCTTTGAATGATTTTGAATTGATTCGTGTTATTGGGCGAGGCTCTTATGCCAAAGTATTAATGGTTGAGTTAAAGAAAACCAAAAGAATTTATGCTATGAAGGTTATCAAAAAAGCTTTAGTTACTGACGATGAAGATATTGATTGGGTACAAACAGAGAAACATGTATTTGAGACTGCTTCCAACCATCCATTCCTTGTAGGCTTACATTCCTGCTTCCAAACACCTTCAAGACTATTCTTTGTAATAGAATTCGTAAGAGGGGGCGACTTAATGTTCCACATGCAAAGACAAAGAAAACTCCCAGAAGAACATGCCAGATTTTATGCAGCCGAAATTTCTTTGGCCCTCAACTTTTTGCATTGCAAAGGTATCATTTACCGAGACTTGAAGCTGGATAACGTTTTGCTAGATCACGAAGGGCATATCAAATTAACTGATTATGGTATGTGTAAGGAGGGTATTAGAGCTGGTGATACTACGTCCACTTTTTGCGGTACGCCCAACTATATTGCTCCGGAAATACTGAGGGGAGAAGATTATGGATTTTCGGTTGATTGGTGGGCGTTGGGGGTGCTTCTGTATGAAATGTTGGCTGGCAGATCTCCGTTTGACATTGCAGGAGCTTCTGAAAATCCCGATCAGAACACTGAGGATTATTTGTTCCAGGTTATTTTGGAGAAGACCATTCGTATTCCAAGGTAATATACTTTTTTTTTTCAAGATAATGATGGGGTCTAGTGTAAGGTCACTTAGGCGGTACCTATTTTTAGGCATCAGTACTTTGTTAATTTTTATAGAAATTCAATTTTATTGTGGATCTGTTAATGTACTTTGCTTGGAGCTAGCGAAATGGAGTTTCTCAACTGTTCAAAATCAGTAAAAATTTAAAATTCAACTTGTTTGGGTTTCAAATTTTCACCACTTAATTCCCAAAATACGACTTTTCACAAATCAATGTGCGCTGTATTTTTGGGCTCCTCAAACATGCTTTGGAACTACAACTCTTCATACCAATACTCCTTTGTCCCTGCCTTTGTCCAATTACTAATTTTTTCATTTCAAAAATATCAACTGCGATTTTTTTGCTACAGCCCTTTGCCCTGCCTACCACTCTTTGTATAACTGGGAATTTTCTACTGTTAAAGTCTCTAATTTTTGGGCTTCTCAAAACTAGAAAATTCCGATTTTTGGTAGGTATAAAGGATTGAAAAATTATAAAAAGTTAATATTTGGAGCTTATTCAGCAAGGGGCAAACCACCTAGAAATTCTTTGCCAAAAATGTGGGAAATTTAGAGGAATTTGTGAGGAATTTGAAGGAACTCATCCGAATTTATAAGAATTTGGAGAATTTATAGGAAATTTGGAGGAATTTATGGGGAATTTGGGAAAATTTGTGAGGAATTTATAAGGAATTTAAAGGAAATTGTCAAATTTAAAAAATTCAAAAGAATAATGAATACAGTTTTTGTAGGCTGATTTCCAAGATTTTTCATGTTATTTTCTTACTGAAAAAATTTGAAATTATGGGAAAATGAGCTTCTCACCTTCCTCTCTACATGCAAAAAGTTTCAAAATTTTCCCTTCTCTAGTTTTCCAGGAAAACTTAGGAATATGTGAAACTGTATTTTCAATTAATTCAGTTATTGTAGGTTGATTTTCAAGATTCCTCATATTGTAATTTTCTACTGAAAAAATTTGAAATTTTGGGAAAATGAGCTTCTCACCTTCCTCTCTACATGCAAAAAGTTTCAAAATTTTCCCTCCACTAGTTTTCCAGGAAAACTTTGAAATGTGTGAAACTGTTTTTTCAATTAATTCAGTTATTGTAGGTTGATTTCCAAGATTTTTCATGTTGTTATTTTTCACTGGAAAAATTTGAAATTTTGGGAAAATGAGCTTCTCACCTTCCTCTTTACATGCAAAAAGTTTCAAAATTTTCTCTTCTTTAGCTCGTTCTTTAGTTTTCCAGGAAAACTTTGAAATGTGTGAGACTGTATTTTCAACTAATTCAGTTTTTGTAGGTTGATTTCCAAGATTTTTCATGTTGCTATTTTCTACTGGAAAAATTTGAAATTCTGGGAAAATGAGCTTCTCACCTTCCTCTTTGCATGCAAAAAGTTTCAAAATTTTCTCTTCTCTAGTCTTCCAGGAAAACTTTGAAATGTGTGAGACTATATTTTCAACTAATTCAGTTTTTGTAGGTTGATTCCCAAAATTTTTCATGTTGCTGTTTTCCACTGGAAAAATTTGAAATTTTGGGAAAATGGGCTTCTCACCTTCTTCTTTACCCACATGCAAAAAGTTTCAAAACTTTTCCTTCACTAGTTTTCCAGGAAAACTTTGAAATGTGTGAGACTATATTTTCAACTAATTCAGTTATTGTAGGTTGATTTCCAAGATTTTTCATGTTGTTATTTTTCACTGGAAAAATTTGAAATTTTGGGAAAATGAGCTTCTCACCTTCCTCTTTACATGCAAAAAGTTTCAAAATTTTCCCTTCTTTAGCTCGTTCTTTAGTTTTCCAGGAAAACTTTGAAATGTGTGAGACTGTATTTTCAACTAATTCAGTTTTTGTAGGTTGATTTCCAAGATTTTTCATGTTGCTATTTTCTACTGGAAAAATTTGAAATTCTGGGAAAATGAGCTTCTCACCTTCCTCTTTGCATGCAAAAAGTTTCAAAATTTTCTCTTCTCTAGTCTTCCAGGAAAACTTTGAAATGTGTGAGACTATATTTTCAACTAATTCAGTTTTTGTAGGTTGATTCCCAAAATTTTTCATGTTGCTGTTTTCCACTGGAAAAATTTGAAATTTTGGGAAAATGGGCTTCTCACCTTCTTCTTTACCCACATGCAAAAAGTTTCAAAACTTTTCCTTCACTAGTTTTCCAGGAAACCTTTGAAATGTGTGAGACTGTATTTTCAATTAATTCAGTTATTGTAGGTTGATTTCCAAGATTTTTCATGTTGTTATTTTTCACTGGAAAAATTTGAAATTTTGGGAAAATGAGCTTCTTACCTTCCTCTTTATATGCAAAAATTTCAAAATTTTCCATTCACTAGTTTTCTAGGAAAACTTTGAAATATGTGAGACTGTATTTTCAATTAATTCAGTTATTGTAGATTGATTTTCAAGATTCCTCATGTTGTAATTTTCTACTGAAAAAATTTGAAATTCTGGGAAAATGAGCTTCTCACCTTCTTCTTTACATGCAAAAAGTTTCAAAATTTTCCCTTCACTAGTTTTCCAGGAAACCTTTGAAATGTGTGAGACTGTATTTTCAATTAATTTAGTTCTCGATTTAGTTATTGTAGGTAGATTTCCAAGATTTTTCATGTTGCTGTTTTCCCTCGTGTTTTCCACTAGAAAAATTTGAAATTTCGAGAAAATGAGCTTCTTACCTTCTTCTTTACATGCAAAAAGTTTCAAAATTTTCCCTTTACTAGTTTTCCAGGAAATCTTTGAAATGTGTGAGACTGTATTTTCAATTACATAATTCAGTTATTGTAGGTTGATTTCCAAGATTTTTCATGTTGCTGTTTTCCACTGGAAAAATTTGAAATTTTGGGAAAATGAGCTTCTAACCTTCTTCTTTATATGCAAAAAGTTTCAAAATTTTCCCTTTAGTAGTTTTCCAGGAAAACTTTGAAATGTGTGAGACTGTATCTTCAACTAATTCAGTTTTTGTAGGTTGATTTTTAAGATTTTTCATGTTGCTGTTTTCTACTGGAAAAATTTGAAATTTTGGGAAAATGAGCTTCTCACCTCCCTCTTTACATGCAAAAAGTTTCAAAATTTTCCCCTCACTACGTGGTTTTCCAAAAAATCTTTGAAATGTGTGAGACTGTATTTTCAATTAATTCAGTTATTGTAGGTTGATTTCCAAGATTTTTCATGTTTCTGTTTTTCACTTAAAAAATTTGAAATTTTGGGAAAATAAGCTTCTCATTTTCTTCTTTACATGCAAAAAGTTTCAAAATTTTCTCTTTGCTAGTTTTCCAGGAAAACTTTGAAATATGTGAGACTGTATTTTCAATTAATTCAGTTCGAGATTCAGTTATTGTAGGTTGATTTCCAAGATTCCACATGTTGTAATTTTCTACTTCAAAAATTTGAAATTTTGGGAAAATGAGCTTCCCACCTGCCTCTTTATATTCGAAAACTTTCAAAATTTTCCCTTCATTACTTTTCCAGGAAAACTTTGAAATGTTTGAGACTGTATTTTCAACTCGATTTTCAACTAATTCAGTTTATGTAGGTTGATTTTCAAGATTTTTCATGTTGCTGTTTTCCATTGGAAAAATTTGAAACTTTGGGAAAATGGGCTTCTCACCTTCCTCTTTACATACAAAAAAGTTTCAAAATTTTCCCTTTTTTTAGAGGAATTTGTGGCGTATTTGGAGAAGTTCATGGTGTGGTATTTGGAGGAATTTGTGATGGGATATCTGGAGGAATTTAGAAATTTTGAGGAATTGTACGTAAAAAAATCCCCTTCGAGGAATTGTTTGCACCAATTCTGGAATGGTGGTTTACCCCTTGTTATTCAGCTTGTTAGTGGTTTTTCCGAGGGTTTTTCTGTGCATTCTTCCCTTTCTGAATCCACATTGTGTGTTTCTATGGGGGGCTTGAAGATTTTACACCAATGGGTCGACCACTATGCTTACAAATGTACAATGATTTCCATATTTGGCTATCACTGATCAATGAATCTCATGTATTCTCATTCCAAGAATAGGGACTGTTCGCCAATGATTTTCAGATATTTTCGGATGATTACCAGGTGATATACATTTTTTCTAGGAATTCCTATATCATTCTCAATTGATTACATGATTTCCTACAATCCTCCGATTTGCAGCTGATTCTATTACGAAAATGATGTCTAATTTTAAAGCTTCGCATCGATATGACCAAAATATTCTTATAAAAACTCGTTTCTAAAGTCTTCTGTAACGTTTTACAATGTTTTCAAAAATTCCAAATGCATGAGGATTAAAAATGAAATTGGATTCTAAAAATTTTCAAAATGCTTTTCAAAGTTTTTAATTGGTTCCCTATTAATTTTGAAGTGCTGGAATGTTCTCTAGAAAATACCAGAAATTTTCCAAATCTTTTTAACTGCTCTTTGATACTTCTCTGTTTGAAAATGTTAGGTTTTAGTCCCATTTTAATGCAATTGTCCAGATTTTTGTCAACCCTGAGAGCCTCGTAGGTGCTCTTCTTTTCTAGTTTGTAGGTACTTTGCTTGTAATTACCTAAGGTGTTTGCAGAGTTATTAGTAAGTAGATAAATAAAAAAACAGAAATTAAACAAGTGTATTTAATTAGTTATAAGAACAAAAACAAATGCCTTTTGAAATTATTTACATAATTTTTCAGGTCTTTGAGTGTTAAAGCTGCCAATGTTCTGAAAGGCTTTCTGAACAAAAATCCTGCTGACCGATTGGGATGTCATAGTACAGACTCTTTCATTGATATTACAGGTAAAAATAACTCATTCTATAAGTTTAAAATATTTAATAAAACATTTCTATTTATAGGACATCAATTTTTCAAAAGTATCGACTGGGATCTTCTTGAGCAAAAACAAGTACCGCCCCCCTATAAACCGCGCCTCGACTCTGATCGGGATTTGGCCAATTTCCCACCGGAATTTACTGACGAACCAGTGCACCTGACTCCAGATGATCCGCGAGTCATCGAGAAAATCGACCAATCAGAATTTGAAGGGTTTGAATATGTTAATCCTCTTCTGATGTCGTTGGAGGATTGCGTCTGATTTTTGCTATCAATTATTTGGAATAAGAATAAGAATATTTAGTTTTATTCTTCCCTGGTGCCTTAAAGTATTCAAGGACCATTCCGTTTATAGTATGTATTTAATGGATTAATATTTTTTTTTATAACTGGTTACACCACCTAGAAAAAAGTGTCTAAACTAGTATAATTTTTTCTATATACTTTGCACTTTTACTAATTTGTACTTATTATTGCAGATCTCAAGTTTATTTTCAATACCTGCCTATTTAAAAATCATTGTTATTAGTATTATTTTTGACAAGTATTAATTAATTATGAAAAATTAACTTGAAATGTTTATAAAATTGTACCTGCGGGTAGATGCTAATAATATTTTTATATAATAAATACACAATTGTATTAAGGCCTGCAGACTGATTTTGGCAAATGTAGGTATTTATATCAAAATTAATTATTGATAAAATATATTATATTGACGATTTTTTAACAAGTTTGTTTTAAGACTATTTTTGCAACCAAAAGCATTCAAAATATTCTATTAACTAATTTATAAATTTAAATGATAACAAATCTTGCATGACGCACTTGATAGTCTCAAGGAGCTGTCGGTTTTCATCAGTTCCATTATCACTTGGGGTGCACAATTCTTGTATTGAGCTCAAACAGGTGCCAAAATTCTCCTGACTGATTTTCTCTGATGGAAAATGCACTTGTTTCAGGGTCTCGATGAAATCGTTTTTCAAACTTTCGTAGATCATTTCTTTTTCGATGATTTCCTGCTTCAGTTGTTCCTTATCCTACAAAATGGGAATTGAAAAGTGATTGTTTATAGTCAAGCAATGTAGTTGAGACTTAATTCGATACTCACTTCTCCCACTTGTGTCAATCGGCTTTCCATATTGTCAATATCAGATTTCAATTTCAATGTTTCTGATTCGATGAGGGCGTTTTCGCTTTGAAATTCGGCAATTGCAGCTTCAAGAATTGTAATAAGACGATTTTTCTCTTCACCTGGAATATGTTTGTGACCTAATAACGCTCTTATAGAAAATATTGTAATGTAAAAAAAATGAATACTGAGTTTTTAAAAAATGGGAACTCTGTGAAAAGTATATACCAGTATGTGGCTTATTTTCTGCGCAGTTTCGGTTCCTTTTTTGCCCAGCAATGGGACAACCCCTAAGAGACCGATGCGTCAGAAAAGCATTAGTGACATGTCCGTTTCCATCGCATCCTGGTGTGGGACAGTTGGCTCGTCTAAACTGCACGATTGTCGCTGCTTTGGGTTCATCTTGTTCTTCTAGAGATTTAGGTATTTCATTGTTGCTGGCAGTTGGACTATCAATTGAACTGTAATTTGAATATTCGAGTACCGATTTTGATTTTTATTTCAAGCTTTACTTACTTCATTTCTTGACTTATTATATTTTTACAAATTGTTATGTAAATTAAACGTTTCTATATATGGCAAATCAGGAAATAAATCTGTGCAAAATATCCTCGTACGGATGTCAGATATGTAAAATTTATGAAGTTTGACAGTCATTATCATAACCAATTGCCACAAAAACATGCCTGAATGCTATCATTACTGCAATTCTCGACTTTTCTGGTATACGAAAACATATCCAATCTCGAATATGGTGGGGTGAGATAGCTGAAAATTATACTAGAATATTTCACGTCTGCGCCCCTTTGGGTTCAGATAGTCATAGGTAAGAAAAGTCGCGCTTTCCAACAGTACATATATTGCACATTATCATTTGGGTACCTACACAATACCAGATATACTTACAAATTTAATGAAATTGTTGATTTTTCTGTCGATTTTTACGAATAATAATTTTGCTAAATATAGCTTAGAATCCTTTATATGTAGGTAGCTGAAAAATTGTATTCTTTTTTTGTGCGAGAAAATACCTTTGGAACGGTATCATGGAGATCTCGTAAACGGTAATAGATAAGGAAATGGTTTTTGGAATTTCTTAGAATTATCAGTACTTATTTATTACCTTTTTTTGGTATTTTCTAGCAATTTCTAGAATTATTTAGAATTTTCAGTTTTTTCTTTTTTAACACCAAACACTAGTTCCTTTGAGTTTAGAATGGATTTTATAGTGTTTGAAGCCAATTTCAAAAATTCCAGTCTCTTCTATTGATTCAAAAATAAAGAATACAGGTTTCTGTAGATACATAGGAAGTTGTCATTATACATATACCTCACGCATCACGCGCGGCATTATAAACCTCAACTATTTTAGGGGAGCCCTTACGATAAGTATTCCCTAAAATGACATTTTTACATGGAGAAATGTCAGTTTAAGGCATACCTATTGTTAGGGCTTCCCTAAAAACCCTAAAATAGTTGGTAGAAATGGCCATGAGCAAAATTAAGAAGAAAACGAAAATTCAAGATCCGGGAATAGAGAAAATAGGTATGAGATGGAAAAATTGAAAAATAAATATATACTTAGATAATAATAATATTAATAATAATACCTGAGTAAACATAAAAAAATTTGCAAAAATATGGCGGCAGGGGCATGGCTAACTTCTTTATTCATATTCAAAATTTGCAAGAATATGGCGGCGGTACCGAATTTCTATTTGAAAAGAGTCAATGTAGTTGCTGTAGGTGGGCCAGCGCCATTGGAAAGGGTTGAAAAGGAAACAACCAATCAAATACCTTGACGTTACATAAACGCAGGAAAGGGACGGGGCTCAACTAACCAATTGAATGCCCTGCTGATATTACTCACATCTGATTGGAAAGGGGCGGGGCCTATATCCAACCTATCAAATGCTTTGTTGATATCCTTGCGTTTGATAACGAGTCAGCCACAGTGTTGCCAGCTTGACGGAATTATCCCCTTTTTGCCTTTTTGAGAAAATTTTCTATTTTCGTTTGCGAAAGGGTGGAAGCGGAAAGAGGAATTTTTAAAGTCTGTTTTTTTTTTTAAGATAAAAGTCAAAATGACATTATGTTGGCAAAACAATGTTAAATAGTCGATGCTTTCAAATTTCATTTTTCTTCTGTATTTTCGCAACTTCTGTAATTTTTTGTATTTTTTATAATTTTTGTAATTTTTTGTAATCATCGTATTTTTTTCGCAATTCTCGTCAATTTTTGTAATTTTCGTACATTTTTGGATTTTTCATGTTTTTTGAAATCCTCGTGGTTTTCGTAAATCTTAATATTTTTCGTTTTTACGATTTTTTGTATTTTCTTTGTATCTATTTATATATTTTCTTGCAAATATCGCATTTTTTTGGATTTTTTACAATTTTACTATTTTCCCAATTTTCATAAATTTTTATATTTTTCATGATTTTTACATTTTTTTTTTTTTTTGGAATAATCTTATTTTTTGCAATTTTCGTGAATTTTTATATTTTTCGTGTTTTTTACAATTTTTCATTTTTTTTTGGTAATCATCATATTTTTATTTTTTTACAATTATCACTTTTTTTTTAGATTTTTCGCAATTTTCATTGATTTCTGTATTTTTACCATTTTCGTAAATTTTTATTTTTCATGGTTTTTGCAATTTTTTGTATTTTTTTTTGGAATAATCGTATTTTTTACAATTTTCGTAAATTTTTATATTTTCTCTGTTTTTTACGATTTTTCATATATTTTTCATTATTTTTGCGATTTTTTGTAGTCATCGTATTTTTTTTCGCAATTTTCTTAATTTTTGTATTTTTGCAATTTTCATAAATTTTTATATTTTTCGTGATTTTTACGATTTTTCATTTTTCTTGAATTTTTCGCAATTTTCATTAACTTCTGTATTTTTTATTATTTTTGTAATTTTTTGTAATCATCGTATTTTTTTCGCAATTCTCGTCAATTTTTGTATTTTTGTAATTTTCGTACATTTTTGGATTTTTCATGTTTTTTTAAATCATCGTGGTTTTCGTTAATCTTTATATTTTGCGTTTTCACGATTTTTTGTATTTTCTTTGTATCTATTTTTTTGCAAATATCGCATTTTTTTGGATTTTTTAAAATTATAGTATTTTCACAATTTTCATACATTTTTATATTTTTCATGATTTTTACAATTTTTTTATTTTTTTTTGGAATAATCTTATTTTTCGCAATTTTTATATTTTTCGTGTTTTTTACAATTTTTCATATTTTCTTTATAATCATCATATTTTTATTTTTTTACAGTTATCACATTTTTTTAGATTTTTCGCAATTTTTATTAATTTCTGTATTTTTACCATTTTCGTAAATTTTTGTACTTTTCATAATTTTTTGTAGTTATCGTATTTTTTCACAATTTTCGTTAATTCTGGTATTTTTGCAATTTTCGTAAAATATTATATTTTTTATGATTTTTTGTATTTTTTTTTTAAATCGTATTTTTCACAATTTTGATATTTTTCATGATTTTTGCAATTTTTATATAAAATATAAAAATGTACGAAAACTACAATAATTCCAAAATACAAAAAACATGAAAAATCCAAACATTTACGAAAATTGCAAAAATACAAATATTAACGAATATTGCAAAAAAAAAAACGATGATTACAAAAAATCGCAAAAATAATGACAAATATAAAAATGTACGAAAATGGCAAAAATACAGAAATTAATGAAAATTACGAAAAATCCAAAAATATGCGATAATCGATGACTACAAAGAAAATACGAGAAATTTAAAAATCTACAAAAATAGCGAAAGATATGATTATTTAAAAAAAAAATACAAAAAATTGCAAAAATTATGAAAAATATAAAATTTTACGAAAATTGCAAAAATACAAGAATTAACGAAAATTGTGAAAAAATACGATAACTACAAAAAATTATGAAAAATTATGAAAAGTACAAAAATTTACGAAAATGGTAAAAATACAGAAATTAATGAGAATTGCGAAAAATCTAAAAAAATGTGATGACTGTAAAAAAATAAAAATATGATGATTACAAAGAAAATATGAAAAATTGTAAAAACACGAAAAATATAAAAATTTACGAAAATTGTGAAAAATAAGATTATTCCAAAAAAAAATAAAAAAATTGTAAAAATCGTGAAAAATATAAAAATTTATGAAAATTGTGAAAATACTAAAATTGTAAAAAATCCAAAAAATGCGATATTTGCAAGAAAATAGATACAAAGAAAATACAAAAAATCGTGAAAACGCAAAATATAAAGATTTAAGAAAACCACGATGATTTCAAAAAACATGAAAAATACAAAAATTGACGAGAATTGCGAAAAAAATACGATGATTACAAAAAATTACAAAAATTATAAAAAATACAGAAGTTAATGAAAATTGCGAAAAATTCAAGAAAAATGAAAAATCGTAAAAATCACGAAAAATATAAAAATTTATGAAAATTGCAAGAATACAACAAAAATTAAGAAAATCGCGAAAAAAAATACGATGACTACAAAAAATCGCAAAAATCATGAAAAATATATGAAAAATCGTAAAAAACACAGAAAATATAAAAATTTACGAAAACTGTAAAAAATACGATTATTCTAAAAAAAAAACAAAAATTGCAAAAACCATGAAAAATAAAAATTTATGAAAATCGTAAAAATACTAAAATTAACGAAAATTTAAAAAAAAATTGAAAAAAATGCGACATTTGCAAAAAAATACAGAAAATAGCGAAAAACATGAAAAATACAAAAATTTACGAAATTTATGAAAATTACAAAAAATACAAAATTTACCGAAAATTGTAAAAAAATTAGATTACAAAAAAATACAAAAGTTTACGAAACTTGCAAAAAAATACATACGAAACATTTTAAATATCGCAAAGATACTAAAATTAACGAAAATTGCAAAAAATCCGAAAATTTACGAAACTTGCAAAAATACAAAAACTAACGAGAATTGCGCAAAATCCAAAAAGTTACGAAAATTGCAAAAATACAAATAGTATTAATGAAAATTGCGAAAAAAATACGATGATTACAAAAAATCGCAAAAATCATGAAAAATACAAAAATTTACGAAAATGGCGAAAATATAATATACATAAATTAATGAAAATTGCGAGATATTCAAAAAAAATGTGAAATTTGCAAAAAAATACAAGGATACAAAGAAAATACAAAGAATCGTAAAAAATACGAAAAATGTATATAAAGGTTTCGATTAGACACGAATAATAGTATATTACATACCGAGTAGGGAAGTGTTTCATTACTGTCGAGAGATTGACTATTAATCTCGAGACAGAAATGGAAACTTTCCTCCGAGGTTTGTATACTATTTGATTTGCAAGCACACCATTTATTATGATTATTCATAAAAAAAATTAATATTAAAAAAATAGAACAAACATGCCATAGAATAAAACATGCCAAAATGTGTCATTCACTGTCTTGACGTTTTTACTTGACATGTTCTCATTGTTGCCAGCACAGGTAAATAAATTAAAGTGAGGGAAGTCGAATAGGGAAATTGGTGAGGGAAATCGAGGAGGGAAGTGACACAGGTGAAGTAACTCTTCCAAATTTTGAAAAAGTCAGTAATGTCAAGATTACATATGGTTGCAAATAAAACAATAAAAAATATTTTTGGATACATTTTATTAACCTAAATGGGGGTGACTAGAAACATCAATACATTCAACAAAAACAAACATGCAAAAATACTGAACAACTAACGCAAACTTCAATAATGCACCAACCTAAAATATGTATCCATAATTGCAAATTATTTTGCTTGTTTAATGTTATATACAGGGCTGAAAAAATATAAATACAACATTAATCTCAAACCCTGTATATCAAAATATAATAATTATCACAATAAATTATAGCATATATTGAGGATACAAAAAAAAAACATGGGAAAATGTGAAATCAATGGATTTCATCTATTCTAATAGGTATTACATATATGGACAATGATTGCGTTATAAAAATAAAACTAAAAAATATGGCATTTGCATAGGCTTTTTCAATTGCATTTTGCAACTTAGGTGTAGCAGACTTAAATGGTGCGATAATTGATAGTTTATTAAATTCCTTTATCATTTGAATATTTATTTGTGGAGTTTGGATTTACATGATAAGTGAACATCCTATAAATAACAATACAACTCCATGAGGTACCTTGACAGATTTAAATTTCTTTTGTTTTTTTGGCAAAAGCTCAAATTTCATTTATTTTTGTTAAATATCTATAAAAAAAAAACTAAAAGGCACCCTAATTATACAACCATTTTACTACATTGACTTTAGTTGTAGATTAATCCAATTCAAAAATTACCATTACTTGGACGGGCGCACAATAGCGTGAATGTTGTAAAATATTAAAAAAAATTATGTACTGCTATCCATTTCTGGATCACTTTCAACATCCGAACTAGAACTAACTGCAAGATCACCAGCCATGGCTACTCTGGCATATTCATCTTTGTCAATTGACTTGCAAAAATGTATGGCGTACTTCAGTTTCTGTTGCAGGACGTGCTATTAATAACAATAATTAATTAAGCAAAAATCAATTAATCTAATTAACAATGGTTACCTTGCAGGAATATTTCGGCATTTTCAATAAAAAGAAGCAAGTGTAGCTTTCGGGCAAAAAATGATCGGGCGGTGAATATTTGTCAATAATTTGGATCACAAAATCTCTGCCTCTAAAATCGGCTATTGTCCTTGGAAGTCTCGTTCTACCCCACACGAAACGTAGAAACAGAGAGCGTTCTTGATTGGTGAATTCTTCCATCACTTCCCAGAACCATTGGATTAACGGAGCGGTACTGTCAATTCCTAAAAAAAAAGTAACAGTTTTAGGTACCTATATTAGGAAATACTTTACAGTTTTCCTTTTGGTACTACTCACCTTTATAAGTAGCTACCGATTTCAATAGAGACAATGGTATATCAGGAGAACCGCACACCATAGTTTCCAGTTCGTATCCGCTAAAAAGACTAAGCAGAGGCACTGGAATAACTCTAGACATTCCATCTCGAACCGCTTTGATTTGTTCATCAAATTCGTGAATTCTAAAAATTAAAATATTAATATCTACTTTTGAAGTCATTTTCCAGTTGCCTACCTAAAATTGAGTGCCAGCCTGACATACTCCAATCTATTTTCGTAAGTGATTCTCTTATACTTGGTACTCAAAGGTACGTCAACTCCACAAGTTGATGGAGTACTGAAAGGCATTTCCAAGTTTTGGAATAGGGAATCGTCTCGACCTGATTCTCTTATGCAAAGAAGACCTGGTACATAATCCCTAGAAATGTAATAATATAATAACAGACTACTAATTTTGTAGTTTGTTACCTGTCGATTTCAGTTAAATCTGCTGGAGTCAAATCCATACCAGCAAGCTGTTTCCAAACAGGTTCAGCTAGATTCAAGCTGAGAGGAGAACCTGTTCTTATAGCTATTCCCATTAAAACTCCCAAAAATCTGTAAGATAATTTTTATAGCAACTAGTCCAAAATGTCATCTCAGACTTACCTAAACATATTGAGATGCAAGCAAGTCTTAGCTGTGGGATTTACAACAAAACAATCTCGATTAGCTCCAGCTTCATCTCGTCCATTTGGAGTCGGAATAAGTAATGGTAAAGATCCATTTTGTAATTCGTCGCACATTTCAGCTATAGATTCACTGTAGCCACCTCCACAATCATCAACACTTTCACCTAAATTGTTGATTTGTTGTAATTTTAGTTCATATATTGTTAACCAAAATCTTACCCACAAATTCAACTTTCCAAACCCTGTGTGGTAAAGCAAGGGCCTCAGAAGTTAGCAGTGGCAGTTTGGTAACCATTTGTCCAAAAACTGACTTCATTCCGTCCACCCCTGCCAAGCCACCTCTTGAACGAGACTTTTTCACTTGTAACCTAAAGTTTATTTTGGCATTATTAAGCATGTTACATTATTGAACATTGCCTGTTTTACCTATTTAATTCGATAACGGGTCCGTGATGCTTATCTCTTACCATAGTCGCTTGTACCACTTTCCTGAATGTAGCTTCTTTGATATAGTAAATTAGAATATTTCGCAACTCGTGCAAGGAATCCTCACCGGTGATAGGAAACATGGCAATACATGGACAAATCAGTTCAGTGAAATGGTGCAACAACACTAAGCGCCTATGTAATACCCAAGTTGGTATATCCTGTGGAAAAATAATTGTTAAATACTTTTTTTGAATTTAATTATTTCAAGTTTTGTATATCTATGTCTTATAATAGAAAAAAAATTATGCCTTTCCTAAGTTTTCTAAAATCTAAATCATAAGGTACCTTCTTACTAAAACGATGAAATTTCAAAATTTTTTTTGTCGAGATTTTGTATCCTAATGGTCAATTAACATCCCCCAATTTCCATACACTAAATTATTCTCAGATTTGAAGCCGAAATCTATGAAAAAAGGCACTCAGAAAAATTGAAAAATTGATAAATCACCCCAAATTGCTTAACACGATTTTATCTCGGGAACTATAAGTGCGAATGAGCTGAAATTTTCAAGGATTGTAGTCTCTTAATCGGGATAAAATTCAGTGAAAGTTTCAGCTTTTTATCTATAATAGAAAAAAAGTTATGACCTTTCAAAGTTTTCCAAAATCTAAATCATATTTCTATTACTAAAATAAAGAAGATAAGAAAATAACAAATAATCTCTACACTTGCCTGTAATAAATCATACTCCAATGGCGCCTGCTCCGGCAAACGAGCACTAGCCGAACTATCCGTTGACCAGGCAAGAGTGTGAGCAGAACCGCAAGCGACATTAGTAATCTTCTTAATGTTGCCTTCAAACGTAGTAATGGACCTTGGCCTTATAGCACCATTGGTCGTACCATCACCAAGTTGACCCTCATCATTGTCACCCCAAGTGAACACTTCACCTTCGTCAGAACAAGCGACGCAATGTAAAGACCCGGAAGCTATCGAGATGATCTTTTTTCCTTGCAGAGCCGACACTTTTTTCGGTCTCCGTACGTGCTCTGGAGTACCATGGCCTAGGCGATGATAGTCACCTTTGCCCCATGTATAAACGCTACCGGAACGGGTAAGGGCGATGGAAAATTGAGAGCCACATTCTACTCTGTTTACTCCCAGGCCTGCTAGGCTTTCTATTTTCATTGGTAGTTTGCAACCATCAGAACTGTCAATTCCAAATACAATAGATAACTGATTGTTTTATTCACAATATAATTGAAAAAGCAAACACTTGTAGATATCTTGTGAAGATAATAAAGAGCCTTATTATTAAAAATAAAATACTCACCCTCCTCTTCCTAATTTTCCATAATCACCATCACCCCAAGACCAAACATTATCATCATCAGTAACGCATAAAGTCTGAGCATCGCCAGAGCCACACGCCACCGCGACTACTTTGTAACCAACCAAGGCTTCTACCAATTTTGGTTTCAGTTGATCCTCACTGTCGCCATGGCCCAATCGGCCGTACCTACCCTTGCCCCAAGTGTAAAGGTGTCCGGAGGCAGTTATAGCCGCCGAATGAGCTCCACCGCTAGCGATATCCGTCACTTCAAAACCTAGAAGATATATAAAATAGGATTGTTTTAATTTTGTAAAATTGTTTCACCTTGTAAAGCTTCAATAAGTTTGGGTTTTTCACATGAGAGCCTATTTCCGTGCCCCAATTTCCCATCTTCTCCCTCTCCCCAGGAGTAAACTTCGTTGTCAGCAGAAAGCGCTACACAATGCTGAAATACAAAATACAATTACAAAAAAATCCAATTCAATATTAAATCCTTACTTTTCCACCTGAATTAACGACCACCTTTTTAATAAAAACATGTTGAATGGCCTCCAAAAGGGTCGGCACTAAAACACTATCGAAGCCTCCTATTCCCAATCTACCTCCTGCTCCATAACCAGTAGCGTAGACTTTTCCATCAGCAGTGACAGCGAATAAAGTTTGTTCGCCTCCTACTAATTGCATAGGTCTTAGCTGAGTTAAGGCTTCACAGGGAGTGGGAGATTTAACTTTAGCTCCTTCTATGCCACCTAATTGACCTCTGTGATTGTGACCCCAACCATAAATAGTACCTGAAAAATATTAAACTTTGAGACAGTTCGTGGATTTTAATCTGATATTCCAAAGGAATGTGAGCTGGGTGGCTCTCATATACCTACTACACTGACATATATCATGTCTTTCCTGTTCACTTAATGTGAGGATTTTGAAGCAAAGAAAGATAAGTAGAGGTATATAATCTCGCATAAGTCTTTCTTTGTCAAACGAAGTAGAACAAGAACATCAATTGCGCATGCTTTAAATGCTATATTCTTATTGGCTGGTCATTGGCATGTTGTAACATGCTTCTTGTGCAGTGTTGTCATATCAAGTTGAAGATATTATGCGTCTTTTGACTTTTTGTTTTTCTGGTGGTTCCTATAATTATTTTTTTTAATGTTTTTGGCAACCCTGTAATATAAGCTGTCTATAATTGATGCTTTTTGGTAGAATTTCATATTAATGCATACGCATTGGAAAATATAATTCTTTTCCTAAAATCGCCCTAGAAGGCAGGCTTTGTCGATTAGATTTGTGATCGCAAAGTTGGCTTTTCCTGATGACCTTTACTTTGCCGCTCTAGAGCGGCAAAGTACTAAAAACGCTCGTGTACGCTTGTGAATTTTGTATTTTCCCAATTTTTTATCCCCACTTTTTTTTCCCCGAATTTTTTTTTCCCGACTTTTTGTTTCACCAATATTTTTCCCCTTTTTTTTTCCCGGCTTTTTTTTTCCCGACTTTTTTTTTCCCGACTTTTTTTTTCCCGACTTTTATTTTCCAGAATTTCTTTTTCCTGACTTTTTTTCCCGACTTTATTTTTTCTCGATCTATTTTTCCCGACCATTTTTTTTCTTGACTTTTTTTTTCCCGACATTTTTTCTCGACTTTTTTTTTCCGAATTTCTTTTTTCCCGACTTTCTTTTTCCCGATTTTTTTTTCTCGACTTATTTTTCCCGACCATTTTTTTTTTCTCAACCATTTTTTTCCCGACTTTTTTTTTCCCGACCATTTTTTTCCCGACTTTTCTTATTCCCGACTTTTCTTATTCCCGACTTTTTTTTTCCCGACCAATTTCTTTCAACGGCCATTTTTTTTCCCAACTTTTTTTTTTCCCGACTTTTTTTCCCGACCACATTTTTTCTCGACCATTTTCTTTCTCAACCATTTTTTTTCCTGACTTTTTTTTCCCGACAATTTTATTCCCGACCATATTTTTTCCAGACTTTTTTTCCCAATTTTTTTTTTCCCGACGATTTTTTTTCCCGACTTTTTTTTTCCCGACAATTTTTTTTCCCGACCATTTTTTTTCCCGACTTTTTTTTTCCCGACCGACTTTTATTTCCCGACTATTTTTTTCTTCGACTTTTTTTTTCCTGGCTTTTTTTCCCGGCTTTATTTTTTCTCTACCTATTTTTCCCGACCATTTTTTTCCCGACTTTTCTTATTCCCGACTTTTTTTTCCCGACCATTTTTTTTTACGGCCATTTTTTTTCCCGACTTTTTTTTTCTCGACCACCTTTTTTCTCGACCATTTTCTTTCTCGACCATTTTTTTTCCCGCTTTTTTTTATTCCCGACAATTTTTTTCCCTACCATATTTTTTCCCGACTTTTTTCCCGACTCTTTTTTTCCCAACGATTTTTCTTCCCGACGATTTAACTTCCCGACGATTTTTCTTCCCGACTTTTTTTTTCCCGACAATTTTTTTTCCCGACCATTTTCTTTCCCGACTTTTTTTTTCTCAATCATTTTTTTTTCCCGACCGACTTTTTTTTCCCGACTATTTTTTTTGCCCAATTTTTTTTTCCCAACTTTTTTTCCCAACTTTTTTTTTCTCGATTTTTTTTTTCTCGACTTATTTTTCCTGACAATTTTTTTTTCCCGACCATTTTTCGGATTTTTTTTCCCGACCATTTTTCCCGACTTTCTTTTTCTCTTACAGAAATAAACAGGTTTTTTTAATTTTTTTTTTTTTAAATGCGATTTTTCTTCCCGACTTTTTTATTCCCGACAATTTTTTTTCCCGACCCTTTTGTTTCCCGACTTTTTTTTTCTCAATCATTTTTTTTTCCCGACTATTTTTTCTCCCGACTTTTTTTTTTCCCAACTTTTTTTTCCCAACTTTTTTTTTCTCGATTTTTTTTTTCTCGACTTATTTTTCCCGACAATTTTTTTTTCCCGACCATTTTTCCGATTTTTTTCCCGACTTTTTTTTCTCAACTTTTTTTTCCCGACTTTCTTTCTCCCCAACAGAAATAAACTGGTTTTTTTGAATTATTTTTTTTTTAAATGCGATTGTAGAAAAAATCATGTGTGGATTACGAGCGAAAAGTGCCTTTGCCAATCTCAAGATATTGCCGCGCTACGCTCTATTGCCGCACTCCGCTCTATAACAATATCTTTCGATCGGCAAAGTAACACTTTGCGCTCTCAATACATAAATAGCTATTCTAGACAACCCGTGATATACATCAATATAATAGGTATATGGTGGCTATATGGACCTCACACTTGTTTTTGCTATATGCTTCACCACCTCGCTCGCTCATATGAAAAGTGTCAGATTTAAAACGACGGACAATATATTTGAAGGGGGAGTGACCCAAAAATGAAAGTTTTAGTGCAAAAAATCTAACAATAATATTTAATCTGCATCTTGCTACGATGAACGTTTTCGAGTTAGGACGGTTTAAAGTGTCAAATGCCTAGGCTGTGACGTCACACCGTCTTCGGAGGCACATTATTAAAATTTTCCCAAACAAAAGTCAACGATTTCACTTAAAGCAATTCCAACCACTCAAAGTATACGTCACGGTTCACTGATGACGGAACAAACAAAATGCTGTGATTTCGGCGGTTAGCCGATGTGACGTCACAAGTTCCCCCATAATTTATCTTCATAAGGGATTTTCTCGGGGTCTTTGGGTCACAAATCTATGAAAAAAGGCACTCAGAAAAAATGAAAAATTGATAAATCACCCCAAATTGTTTAACACGATTTTATCTCAGGAACTACAAGTGTAAATGAGCTGAAACTTTCAGGGATTGTAGTCCTTAGGAAGGGATAAAATTCAGTGAAAGTTTCAGCTTTCTATCTATAATAGAAGAAAAGTTATGATCTTCCAAAGTTTTCCAAAATCTAAATCATAAGGTAGGTAGGTACCTTCTTACTAAAACGATGAAATTTCAATTTTTTTTTTGTTGAGATTTTGTATCCCAATGGTCAATTAACATCCCGCAAACTCCATACACTAAATAATTCTCAGATTTGAAGCCGAAATCTATGAAAAAAGGCACTCAGAAAAATTGAAAAATTGATAAATCACCTCAAATTGCTTAACACGATTTTATCTCGCGAACTATAAGTGCAAATTAGCTGAAATTTTCAGGGATTGTAGTCCCTTGATTGGGATGAAATTCAGTGAAAGTTTCAGCTTTCTATCTATAATAGAAAAAAAGTTATGACGTTTGAAGTCGAAGTCTATGAAAAAAGGCACTCAGAAAAATTGATAAATCACCCCAAATGGATGAAACGAGAAAAATCTAAGAATAATGTTTTGTCCGCATCTTGCTACGATGGACCATTTTCCAGTTAGGACGGTTTTAAGCAATGACATCAAAACACAGATAGACCGAACAATAAACAAAATTTTCGTATGACAACATCTCTCTGTCTCTTTTGGGTCTTTGTGCTATCCCCACCACTGAGAATGCCAAATTTTGTCTTGAAACCCTAAATAATATATTTTTATCCTTTTCTAATTAACGTTTTCAATTTTACTTCTGAACTCAATTTGGCAACAGCAGATTGTAGCAAAACACCGCCCAGAAGCGGCTTGTTGAATGGCAGGCAGGTGTTTGTTGGAGTAGCTAGCTATCTTTATCGCAAACAGGGATTATTTATTAGCGTTAAATAAGAAACGACCGATACGATATTGGTACTCCCAGAATAAAGGGCTCGTATCGAATATTTTCAGTTTATTTGTCAATTTGTTATTTTATTTATTCATCCAATTAAATTTCGAGATATATTCACGTGTGGGCGGGGTTTTTTACACCATTTTGAGCAATGATGTCTCCCTACCCCGACCCCGCGAGCAACTCACCTCCCCTGGCCCATGGGTGGTCTTGTCAACACAACAAATAACAGTTTATGAATGGGATGATCCGTCTATCTGTGTTTTGATGTCATTGGTTTTAAGTGAGTCACACCGGCTTCGGAGGCACATTATTAAGATTTTCCAAAACAAAAGTTAACGCTTTCAATTAAAGTGAATCCAAACTAGTCAAAGTATAAGGCACGGTTCACTGACGACAGAACAAACAAAATGCTGCGATTTTAGCCGGTATGACGTCACAAGTTCCCACATAATTTATCTTCATAAGGAGCTTTCTTGGGGTCTTCGGATCACACCCCCTTTAAGTAATTTTTTTCTTACCTGAACCACCCCAACTCAGAGTCCAATCTTCGGGACGTCTACTGAGCCACACCAGTAGTTGTTCGTCATGTTCTTTCTTAAAAATCTGATGGTTTTCATGCTCCCAAAACTCGCCCGTTACAGATAAACTTTCCAAACTCTCCGATTCGCTCTCGGTGGTGTCAGTGAATTTTTTCCTTACTTCGAGACAAAAGTTTAACGGCAACGGCGTACGGTGAATCAAAGATTTGGCAACTCTGGCTGCGTTACAATAACGTCTAAACCACACCCTTAAAAACAAGAAATTTTATTTTAACATATATCAATGATTTGTTTTTGTCAAAAAAATGGTACCATTTATGATTATCGGCAACCTCTCCGACCTTATCCAACTCCAAGTCGCAAGCCAAAGCAACAAGAACCTTAAAGAAATCGGCATGCATTAAATGAAGTCCAGCCCTAACGGCGCTGTCTTCATATTCAAATTGCCTCAAAAGCGCTTGAGGTAGTTCCTCCAATAAATTACTTAGAGATCCATCGGGCGAATTGAAATGTTGCAATTGTTCCACTGCTGATTTATGTTTAGCTCCTGTCAATAATCTAAAAAGACAATCAAAATTTAGCTTTAAAAATTTCAAATTCTAGTCAAAAGTTACTTGTGTAATTTTTGCAACGCCCACATTCTTTGATTGGCTGACAAGAAGCTCAGCTGCGAGCAGGCAGCTAAAGCGGCAGCTAATCGTGACATTAATGCCAAATCCGCACACGAATAAAGCCGAGGATCAAGAAGGCACATTACCATATCCATAGATGGTTGACTTAAAATGGCCCTATCAGAACCTAGTTCCATTATTCTAAGAATTAATTGCAATTTATAAAAATGTATAAGGCAATTTAAGGGAAAACTTGCCCATTATTAGGTATAACTGGATAAACAGTAAATCTCCAACCCCAACCATTAACAGAACTATCACTTTTGAATGTCCAATGTAATTCGTCACCAGGTACTCGAAGTTCTGCAGACCAATCAGTATATTCCCTGCCGCTGCGCATGGCTACCACTCGACCTGCGCCATCGGTTATTGTTAGTGGATCATGGCGACGTTCCGTGGAACATCTAAAAAAAATGTTTTAATATCAAAGAAATTATATCAATAATTCTAAAAATACCTTCTATCAAATTCCACTCTCAAAGCTTCAGCTCCAGGCAATCGAACATGGCCACTCAATTTTATATCGTCAAAATATGGATGATTCGATTCTTGCACTACAGGATGAGGCGTGGACGAATAGGGCTGCGTACTGTTGGTAGTGTCTTCTAGTTCAGTAACGCATAGTTCGAGTAGCATGGCTCCAATTGCGGGATTCGCTGAGCCCATAGTAATGAGTATGGTTGATAAAATCTAAAATAGAATATTGTAATTTTGGTCAAAAAAACTAAAATCCATTATTTTTACCTCTTTGGCCTGTTCATCTTCGATTCGTTCAGCTACAGCTAATTTAAGGAGATCAACAATCAGTCTTGAATCGTTTTCGGAAAGGAGAGAAGTGAACTCGTCCAAACCAGTCAAACCACTATCGCCCACAACCTAGAAAGCATACATGGACATACTGGACTAAGAATATGAATATTTACCTCTGCATGACTAGTAAGAGTGGCAGCCATAACACTCATAGCACTAGCCGACATTTTACTATGCTTTGAAGAAATACTAGCCGAACAACTGCTAGCAGTCATAGACTGAAGCAACAACATTGGGTTTTCGTCTTGTTCCGGACTCGCTTGAGATGTTGCCAAGTCAGCTATTTCTGAAATCGACACTGGAGCTTCGCCTCCACCCAATAAATTAGCACTTTCCATAGTGCCATGAGATCTATCTTTATCCGTTTCCAAAGTACCTCCTGGCTGTTTGAGGGATTGATTCTTGACGTTAGTGTGACTGCAAAGGGCTTTGACTATCGCCTGTCGCAGTTGCTGGATGTGAATAGCGTTTAGAATGTGTTGTAAGGCTTGTTGCTTGGCTGTGTTGCTTTCTAGCGACATTACTATGCTGCTTAGAGACGGCGCGTTTTTGTTTGAGGATTTTGATTGGACCTATGAAAGAAATTTAATGAAATCTAGAGAGGTTTGATAATTATCAATATTCTTACTTTTTCCCCATCATACAATCCCAATATTGATGAACCCAATGAATCTTTGGGTACTGAAAATATTACAGGTTCAACCTAAAATAAAAAATACAAAAATTGAGCATTAAAATAATATTTGAAATAATCTATTACCTTTGCAACAGTCTGTGTGTCTTGTAAAGTCCACGCAATCGAATGTGAGCTTCCACAAGCCACTCTATTGACATGAACATCTTCTAAGCCTTGAACCAATGCTGGTTTTCTATTCACCAGAGTGGTTCCGTTACCTTGTTGTCCATGGTCATTGTCTCCCCAAGCATATACCTACAGTACAGTTTACTAGAACAGATTCTAAGATAGGTGATTGTACTTACCTGGCCTGTATCAGTGACAGCTAAACAATGTAAAGCTCCCACTGCCACATGTATAATTTTCCTATCTCTTAAACTCTCGATCAAGGTAGGTTTCCTGACATGCTGATCAGTTCCGTGACCTAATCGGAAGTAATCCCCCTTACCCCAAGTCCAAATGTTTCCGGATTTGGTTAAGGCCAAGGAAAATTGGGCCCCACATTCTAAAACATAATGGCTTAATAAAAAATCAAACAAATTAATAAAACATTAGTTTACCTATTTGCACTACGTTTAAATGATTCAGTCTTTCAATATTGTGTGGCACGTTACAACCTTCAGATCCGCCACGGCCTAATTTTCCGAAATCGCCATCTCCCCAACTGAATACTAATCCTTGATCGGAAAGAGCTAACGTTTGCGCATCTCTGCTACCACAAGCTACCTGGATAATTCTATGTCCGGCCAATGTTTTTACCTAAATTCAATATGAGTTACTAAGTTATCATGCTGTGGTAATTTTTAACACTAAGGCCAGATTTATTTATCTTTCTGGTAATTGTCAATAAAACAGATTGCATTACCTGATAGGTTATTAGAAGGTGAATAAACCCAAACTAAATTAGAGGTCTTTGTTTAGGACATTCTGTTTGAATTATGTATAACTTACTGTTTAAAAATAGAGATTTTATGTGTATGTCTTTTATGTATGTAAAGGACCCCGCAATATTTAAATGGAAACTGGTTACCCGTGATATTTCGATGAAATTTTATTGGGGATGCCATAAGCAACATTTTTTACCATGGGCACAATCCTGTATATATGACAGGTGAGGCGTGGTTAGCTGTCAAATATTGGATTTTTCCAGAACTTTCCTCTCGACTTTCTTTGGAGTGATTTTTCACTAGAAAATTTTGAAATTTTCCTATAATCAGCTCCTCATTTTCTTCTTTCTCCTGGAAAAATTTCACAAGTTTTGCTTTATTAGTTTTCCAGAAATTAGTTGAAATGTGAGAGGATGAGTTTTTCTTAATTTTACTTGAAAAAGTCACTTTTTCTGTAACGGGAAAAAAGTAGACTTTTTGTACCTGTTGACGGGGGCGAAAATGTCACTTTTTCTCCCATGGGAAAAAAGTTATTATTTTTTTCCCACGGGAAAAAAGTAACAGGTATAGTCAATTTTTTTTCTCGAAGGGATTAATGTATAGATGGAAAATGGTGAGATTTTCCCGCCACAGAAAACAATAGTGTAATATACAGGGTGAGTAACTATGCCCGTGGTGGTCCATATCTCCTATACTAACGGAAATGGGAGAAAAAAGTAAATACAAAACTTGTAGATAAACATGAGTACTACATTCCTAAATTATTTTCCAGTTCACAGGGTGGGGCAATAACTAGTAGTGACACAAAGTTATGTTTTTTCAAATGACTCTCCCTGTATATTATGACATTTCTGGATTCTGCGGAAAATTCTAGACATATTTGATGTATAATGTCATATACCTATCTTCAACTGTTTCGAAAATATTGACAATTGAAAATTCACTTTTTTGCATTTTTGACAGATTGTGAAATCTAAACGGTTAATTTTAGAGGAAAACGGATTTCACATTCCTATCTTAGATTTTCATAAGCTATCATTTGACACCAACAAGATTTTAGCGCTCGCTGTGTTGTCTCCCTCCGCATCGCGTCGGGAGACAAAAAACCACACCTCACGCTAAAATCTAGTACTTTTTTTCCTTGTATAATAAATAACTATTTTTCAGAATGTTTCCTGGAACAATTTTCTATTGGAAAATTTTGAAATTTTCTTATATTGAGCTCCTGATTTTCCTCTTTTTCCTCTTTTGCCAGTTTTCCAGAAAAAAAATTGAAATGTGAGAGGATGAATTTTTCTTAATTTTACTTGAAAAAGTCAATTTTCCAGAATTTTCCTTGGAGTGATTTCTCACTGGAAAATTTCGAAATTTCCCTATAATGAGCTCCTCCACTTTCCTCTTTTTCCTGGAAAATTTTCACAATTTTCCTTTTGCCAGTTTCCCAGGAAAAAATTAAAATGTAAGAGGATGAATTTTGCCTAAAAAAGTCAATTTCCCAGAATTTTTCCTGGAGTGATTTTCCACTGGAAAATTTTGAAATTTTCCTATAATGAGCTCCTCACTTTTTTCTTTCTTCTGGAAAAATTTCATAATTTTCAGCTTAGCTTTTTCTGTTTCATAAATACTTCATTGCTAATCCAGACACTAATAATTTTACCACATTAATGTCGCATTTTTTTTTGAAGTTGAAAATTGACATTGTCACTCATGGCTTGAGGGGATACATAGAATCTCCAAGCAAAACGCTGCCATGAAACGGTCATTATCCCTGGTTCATCCTTTCACATAACAAGCTATTCCGTCAGCACAAACATAATAACATTTTAAGGATGGACCACATATATACAAGCATAATGTTTGAGGAATTATTTCCGTGGCGGTCGACAAATGCATCAACTGCTCTTCATACCAATGGCATACCAGCAATAATAACAACAAACAGTTTCCCTAAGTTGTGGACAACCCTGGAATATTGTCGCTTTTGAGACACCATGCATGTCTCCGGCACAGTGATATTGCATGCCACTGCCTAACCAATAAAGTGCTACCATAAGCTGTTGGTTTGGTGTTAGGGCATGATTTCTTCTACTAGCATACACCAAATGATGCTCAATTCGGGCAAGAGCGAAACCAAATTTTTCTGTTGACAACCTAAATCTTACATTAAACTCGCAAGTTTCTTCCTCCATGTATAAATAGGAAGTTCGTTCTTTGAAAATTCGTGGTCTCGGTCTCCTCACCCAAACTTCTATTTCTTCATCGCTTGATTCACTCATATTTTATTATTAAATTTCATTTCTTTGGTTTGCAGCACAATTATTGTTAAGGGAAAGAACGTAAAAAAACTTTAAGCTTTATTTTTTTCAACGAAGTCTTTGACTATTAATGATAATATTATAGGCACAATGGTAATAGATTTTCACAAATAATATTAGTGTTTATCAATAGACTCATTTATTTATGAAACTCATGAATTCATTAGTCTAATAGAAATCACTAATATTTCAAGAAGAAAACTCATAACTAATAATATTACTAATATTTTTTTTTGAAACCCCAACTCATAATTTTCATTAATAATATTTGGTAAAGAGTAATATTATTAGACTAATAGTTTTTATGAAACAGGCCCCTGGAGTGATTTTTTACTGGAAAATTTTGAAATTTTCGTAAAATGTGCTCCTCATTTTCCTCTTATTCCTGGAAAATTTTCAAAATTTTCCCTTTGCAAGTTTTCCAGAAAAAAATTAAAATATAAGAGGTGAAGTTTTTTAAATTTTGCTTAAATAAGTCAATTTTTTAGAACATATTTGAGATTTCAGTCATAAAAAAAAAATAAAGAATCACCCTTTGCTGTTTGTACTTGATATTTAGGAACACCCTGTATAATACGCAGTTAATTAGAGCTGGGTTCGGCTATTCAGCGCGGAATTGGAGTGGACTGAGTGGAGTGAACAGAGCTAATGGAGTCACCCCTAATACGGTAAAAAGCAATACCCGAACCTCAACCCACTGGAGTGCGAATGGAGTCACTTCGAGTGCACGGAGTGAGCAAGCTGAACCCACCTTAGTTTATATATTTGGGACTCCAATGATTTTTTAAGGGCCGGTATTTCAATGTCACCTTAAGATATAGAATAAACATAGACATTGACAACATTGTCTGACCTTGTTCGATGACGTCATCTTAAATGGAACATAAAAACCCTATATTTTAGGGTGAGTCTTGATTGCCTCGGTTGAAAAATTTTATTCCATAACAATAATAATTGCGAACGTGCTCTATAAATTAATCAACGACAAATACTTTTTTCTAAATTATGACGTCATCGATGACGTAAGTAAGTACATAAATAATTTGGTTGCACTAATTTTTTATATTAGTGTTAGGTAGTGCTATGGTGGGATGCCGAATGAGAGTGCTAATTTTTGCTTTAGGGGTGCTTCATAGCATCCCCAAGCACCCCCCCCCCCCAGTTGAGCCTGATGATTTTGACACCTGTCAAAACCCTGTCAAACGCACTCATCTTTTCCAGTTTTCAATAACTTGTATGTAAATTCGGAATTCAAAATTTGAAAAAAATGACATTATTGCGGATTTCAATTGTAAGTGTCAAAATGTTTGAGTACTTTAATGATTTCATTATAGTACTGAGTACTATAATGACTTTAATGAAATAATAGGTATTTATTATTCAAGGGAAAAAAGTACTAGATTTTAGCGTGAGGTGTGGTTTGACACAGCGAGCGCTAAAATCTTACTTTTTTTCCATGTTTAATACACTATTTTTTTCTGTGACGGGAAAATCTCAACATTTTCCATCTATACATTATTACATTATACCCTTTGAGAAAAAAATTTGACTAGTACCTATTACTTTTTTCCCTCGGGAAAAAAAAATTGACTTGTAGCTGTTTTTTTTTTTCCCATGGGAGAAAAAGTGACATTTTTGCCCCTGTCAACAGGTACAAAAAGTCTACTTTTTTCCCGTCACAGAAAAAATCCTTTATACTAAAACTACATACTTTAAAATGAAAATTGACATCTCTGTCAAAATCTGAAACCTGCGCATAATGTTTTTTCATGCGTTATCATAAATAAGCCTAACTTAAATTGGAAAAGAGCTACATTTGATTATTTTTTGAATTAAAGCTATTGACAGATTCTGACAGCTGTCAAAATGTCAAGTGCATGAACTTTGTTCAATGTTTTATCACCAGTAAACTACCTTAAAACGAGAAAGAATCAGATTAGAGTATTTTTTTCTACCAAAACAAATGACAGGTTTTAACAGTGCTGTTATTTTTTTTAAAATTTTTGAATTCAGAATTTACATACAACTTAAAAATGTGAAATGACATCATAAAATATTGAAAACTGAAAAAGATGAGTGCTGCCGTTTGGCAGATTTTTGACAGGTGTCAAAATCGTTGATATTTTTCGACTGGGCTTGGTCGACTTAGTAGAAATAGATTTTTTGTTCATCAAAATCTGCCATAGTTTAGATATAAGATTCCAATATTTGACAGCTATCCACGTTTCACCTGTCATATATACAGGATTGTGCCCATGGTAAAAAATGTTGCTTACGACATCCCCTATAAAATGTTTAAATTTTTTTCCAAATATCACGGGTAACCAATTCCAATTAAATATTATGGGGTCCTTTTCCAAATAATCACTTACCAATTTTGGTTTCAGTTGCGTTACATTATCGCCGTGTCCCAGCCTGCCATATTCACCCAAACCCCAAGTATATAACTCTCCGCTACTGGTTATGGCCGCAGAATGTGAACTGCCACATGCTATGTCCCTGATTTTTTTGCTTTTCAACACTTCTATGAGTTTGGGTTTGTCCAAGTTCAACCTATTGCCGTGACCTACAAGAATTTCACGTTACATAGGAATAATCGATTTGATAAAATCTCACCTAGTTTTCCATCTTCGCCCTCTCCCCAAGAAAACACTTTTCCATCCAAAGTCAAAGCCATGGCATGTTTTCCGCCTGAGTGTACAGCCACTTTTTTGATGACGTATTGGCTCAAGAAAGGTACAGGACGGGGATGGGGTACATTCAAACTATGCCCTAAGCCTAGGCGGCCGTTGGTACCTTCCCCACAAGCATAGAGCTAAAACATACAACTTTTAGGCAAAATTTTGATGCAACTTCAATAATTACTTTTCCTTCCTGCGATACTACAAAAAGAGATTTGGAACCTCCTGCAATGTGGAGTGGCCTTAATTGGCAAAGCAACTCTGTTGAAACTGGTAATTTTACTTTTGAACCTTTCATGCCTCCTATAAAAAAATCTCATTGATTTTGATAACAAAGATTTTTAAAAAAAATCTCACCTAGTTGGTCTTTGTCATTTAAGCCCCAAACAAAAACTCTACAGCCTACAGTATTATTGGGAGTCGCAAAGTCATCATGAGAAATTGTGGCAACCTTTAAAAAAAAATGAAATTATACATGAATAATTTTCTAATTATTGTTACCGTTGGTCCAGGTAAAGTTTCCTGATTCAAATCCCAATCGTTGGCCAAAAACGACACAGATGTCCTAAAGTCCCCACAAGAATGTCGCTTAATGCCAACCATGCTTATACCATGGATTTTGCAGTCTATTCCGTTATTCCTGCACTTGGTTATACTTATTTCAATAATAGGATAGTACTTATCTATGTTGGATAATAAAAGGATAGAAGTTTCATGGCTTTTAACAGAAACAGAGTTAAGTTCGTAAAGGGCATTCATACTATTTCCACCTGAAATACATTGGTTTATTTAAAGTAGGTAGGTATTTGAAAACGCTTTTTACCATTAACAACGATTACAGAAGGCATATAGCTATTATCATTTGGGTCTACTCCTACTTTAAGACTCTTAATAATAACATTGGGAAACATTTCCAATCGGATCCAGTGTTTCCCTTGAGAGCCATTACTTTGCCACACAGAACCGGGCAAATCAAATCTGGCACAGTATTTTGAGGATACAGAAACGTTTTTGACTAAGCGGCCCCATTCAGTAATTATTTCGCCTTCCATTTCTACAGTGTCTTGTCGGTAGTACCTAAGATGTAAATCATTAACTGTTAAAGTATTCATTTTACCAGAGTTAACATAAATCAAACTGCCGAAATTCTATCTTACCTTCCAGCTTTGCCCGCATGTACCTCTGCACTCCCAGGCTCGTGTATGCGTACAAAACTATGCCGGTGGTTCTTTTTTGTGTAAAAACAATTATCGCACAAATCATATCCATCACAAATTTTGCATTTAAATCTGGGACCTTAAATCAAAAACCATTATTAAAAAATAACCCAAAAAAAAAAACTACATATTAACCTCTGATTGGTTGAACACAACAACTATTACAAGAAACGCCCTCATGACAAGAAGGAACCACTTCCATTTCGGACAATAGTCCAGTCCAGTTTTGCTGTTTGGGGAAATCCACAGTCACGTCGTGGCCATTAGGTGAAATAGCAATCACTATACCAACGCTATCGTGAGTTACATAGCCCCACTTATATCGAGGCGTTGTGACAGTAGGTTTGACTCGTACTTTATCGCCTACTTTAATGGTGGCTGGCGTCGGCATCGATGGAGGGAACCCTAGAAGCTCCACGTGGATGAAACGAACCCAGTAGGTGCAAATTTTGTGTTGCCAATTGACCTAAATTGAATGCAATCAATATAAATGTTTAAACATTTAAAACCATTGTATTACCTGTAAATTCAAATCGTGCAATCCTTCTCTGTCAATTTTAACCACTTTTCCAATATCACCCAGTTGCACTTCCTCGTAGTTCTTGCAACAGCGCACCAACATTCCTACTTCAACATTGTCACGGACGTACATTGCATACTCATCATTTGACAAAAACTGTGAACGCCTGCAGTATTGGGCACCACTAGATTCTTGATTTTCATCAGTCTATAAATAAAATAATTAAATAAGAAATAATTTTCCAATTTAAATAATGCACTTACAAATCCAGCTACAGCAAGCCCAGTTGCATTATCATAAGAGACAGATTCAGTATCTGATTCGTACACTGAACTCATGGACTCAGTGTCTTCAGCTGCCACTTCAGGGTGCTCCAAGAGCCAGCCCACAATAGATTCAGGACTCATCAAGGTTTCTGGACTTATTGCTACAAGGAAATAAGTTCACGTTTTGTAGAACTTCCTTTTTAAATAGCCAGGACTCACCCAATGATTTTATGGCATACTCAACAGCTTTCTTAGTAAAACCCATTTCAACTATTTTATGTACCATAGGATGCGCAGGAACGTCTTCGTCTAATTCCATTCGTTTGCTTGTTTTTTCACTGACCATACTTTTGATAGAGCATTCACTGTTTGATGTAGCCAAATCACTTGATGGACCTGCAAATTTTCTTCAAAAAAAACAATCCCCAACATATTTCAAAATTCCTACCTGGTCTAATGGTTGTATTACTTCCAGTTGGTTTATCGTTATTAATTCCAGAAGAAGGAATTTCAAAGTTACCTTCAGCGGCTAGATACTGGCTCAAATTCAAGGCGGCCAACTGCATTTCTTGTAAACTGAAACCGGGCTTCAATGGGCTGGGTTGTGTTGCTTTAGCTAAAATTTTCTGTATCAGAAGAACGGGAGTTTGATTTAATTCTTCCTCAATGGATTGTTGCTCTTGCGATTGATCCATGCCGTTGACTGGATATTTAAGAACTTTTCGTAATCTGTACTGGTTTCCGTGCAGAACTCTAGTTGCATTCAAGGCACTCAATATGTTTTGCTGTGTTCTTAGATACGCTAAGTTTACTTGGCCGTAGTATGATTTTCTGTCGTGTGCATTTAAGGAACTGTGTCGGATCAGAACCAGATTCGCCCAGGTTTTGATGGAACCCTCATTCATGGGCATTTTTTCAAAGCTAAATTCTCTGGAGGGGAGCATTTTCAAATCTTTTATGGATACCTAAAAATTATAATTATATTTTCCTCTATAGTAGTAGTTTGCAATACATTTCTTATTCTTTTTGTTTTGTGGTTTTTGCTGCATTATTTTTATTACGAATTTTTTCGAGAGAAATCTTGAAACGGAAGAACAGAAGCTCATTATACTAGATTTTCAAAGCGATCCAGTGAAAACCGACAACAGAAGAGATTCTAGAAAATCAACCTTTGAAAAGTCAAATAATGAAAATACATTGTTTCATATTTTGATATTTTTTTGGGGAAACCAGTGAAGGAGAAATCTTGAAGCTCACACATAAGCTCATCATACTAGATTTGCAAAGCGACCTAGTGAAAACCAACAACAAAATATCTAAAAATGAAAATATTTCAGATACAGCGAAACTTTGCATGAGGGTAAATATGGTCAAACAGCTTCCAAATTATCCCAACTATGACAAATTGAAATCTTCCTATCGATGTACCAAACACCCTGTATACAAGGTTTTTCCAATCCTACCCCAATTAAAACAAAGAAAAATATCAATTTTTGGATCAACAACGCTTAAACTGGGATATAATTATAATTTGCATTTCTACTGAAAATATTTAAATTACCTTCCGGACATCACTGCTCCCATGTAACTGCAAACACAATCGTCCTTTCGGAGTGACTCTAGTAATAGTACCACAAAGGTTATCGATTTCTGCAAGAGCCCCCACTCTGGGCCGTACATCCCATGCCCCGATAACATTCAAGCAAGCAACCACCATGAAATGTTGCTGATCGGAATTGACTGCATCGTTGAGTGTTGATAAGTCGCTGAGAAAGTACCTAGAGATAAGATTTATGTTTTCTGTGCCAAATATAATTCAGCTAATTGAAATTACCCAGCCAAATTCAATTTTTGGTTCAATATAGCGTTGAGTACTTGATTCCAGCCGACTAATCCATGTAGACTGCGTAAAAGATTGATAATTTCTTGCGCTAAAGTGCTGCTGTGACTTTGAGTTAGCAATACAAGAGATTTGTTGCTCGATAATGGTTTATTTCCGGTATCGTATGAGCAAGTAATGATGATATTACCTACAAAATTACAATATATACTTTGTGTAAGCTAAAATGATTGTCTACCTAAAATATTCAAAAGTTTGTCCAAGACAGATGGAATTTCTGAACTGTCCAAGTCCCATGACTGCAATACTGTGTGTAATAGTCTTATTGTAAGAATCTAAAATATAAATAAACATTATTTGATTTAATTACTAGATGAAGAAATTATACCTGTTTGGGTAAATTAAATTCATTTCCACCAGCGATACTAGGCGGAGTCAGGAACCCGAGCAGCATATTCATCCAGGGCTTCGTACTGAAGGCCCTGCAAAGTTGTTGGGTGTGGCAAATTGTCCGGATCAATGTCAAAGTGCACCATTCGGAATTATTTGAGTTCAACACCGAGCAAAATAAACTGCTCAAGCCGTGAAACGAGGTGGAATGTAAATTATTGCACGAAAGACCTGCGCTGATGGTTAAATTGCGCATAAAGTTAATGCTAGCGTCGCGTAGTAGTTTGATTAGCTGATTGTCTCTTACTATTTGTGAACCTATAAATAATAATTTTATTTTGCTTACAATTTTATTGTTAAAGTTCTCTACTCACTTCTCTCACAAGATTCGTCCGCAGTTTCACTTTCTGAAGAAACAGGCGACGGTGGAGATGTCAAAGTGAGATCATACTTTCCCTCAACACCCATCCTATAACTGTTGGTAGTCCCATTACTCCATTCTACTCGAATCCAACCGTCGTCTCCCAGTTCACCAATAATTCGACCCTCGGCAGGAGGATTACCGTCCTGATCTCCCCATTTCCAATCAGCGCCCCGGATTACTTTAGTGCCGATTTTCATTAGGCGGGCCAACTCGGGCCCTGAGAGAGACCTCAAGCATGGTCTGTTAACGTCAACTGCATCCGCATAGAGAACGTAGAAGTCTGATACTTTTCTTACAATTGTTTGGTCGCAGCCTGATTGTTTTAGTAGTGCTAGGACTGAAGATATTACTCCACTAAAAACATTCAAATATTTAGATTTTTGTCTTCCAAAAATGGCTCCTTACCTGTTTATCAATGGATTCAATTCCAAAGCATTATAATAATTTGATGCTAAAATGCCTAGTAGAGCCAAAAGCATCCTTGCTCTAGGTATGTCCCTGAGTAACGTATAAGTTCCAAGATTTAACGAGACCTTGGAGTTACCTTTTAATTTTGATAATTTAGAGGGTATGTCCTTCAAAATATGACCCCTCAAATTTTGTATGCACCATTCGGTGATGCTCAATTGTGCCAAGAGCATTTTAGTTTTGATAAATGGCGTTACCAATTGTATATTTTCTAGGCAGTGTTGTATTTGGGTTTCTTTTTTATCCAGGCCCAAGTAGCCGTTTATAATGGAATATTTCACTGATGAGAGTAGGTCAGCTTCGTCCAGGAGCTGTTTGATCATGTGTAAACCAGTTTTACGAATTTTTGCACGTTTAACCTGAGGAAAAATAAATGGGTTTGAAAAACAGGTTTTAGTCAAGGCTATGGGACGAGCTGATAGAGCTACTGAAGAGCAATAACCATCAAGTAGTGGGATATGCAGATGACTTGGGAAAATTCACCCATACAGTTAGAGATCGCATGCAGCAAGCTCTAACAATTAAGGGTTAAAAATTAGTGCCACCAAATCAACAATTGTTCCATTTACCAAAAGTAGGAAAATGAAGGGACTTGGACCTCTTTACCTATAGGGAAACCCAGTTACGATGTCGGACGAAGTTAAATATCTTAAGACCCAAAATTAACTTGAAACAAACATCTGGACAAAGTTATTAAAAGGCCAGAACTAGAACTGGTACCTCGACTGGTACTTATACTAGCCAGGAGACCTGGAGGCCGGACAATGATGAAAAATTTATAAATCACCCAAAATCTAAATCATTCTTGCTAAGACGATGATTCAATTTTTTTCTTGTTGAGATTTTGTCTCCTAATAGTCATTTGGGATCCCCCAAACTCCATACACTAAATAATTCTCAGATTTGAAGCCGAAATCTATGAAAAAAAGCACTCAGAAGAATTGAAAAATTGATAAATCACCCCAAATTGCTTAACACGATTTTATCTCAGGAACTATAAGTGCAAATGAGCTGAAATTTTCAGGGATTTTAGGTAATTTTAGAAGTTAGAAGGGTTTTTAGAGATTCTAAAGGATTTTTAGAGATTCTAAAGGATTTTTAGAGATTTTAACGGATTTTTGGGGATCCCAAAGGATTTTTGGAAATGTTAAAGGAATTTTATAAGATTTTGCCGGATTTTTTTTTGTTCTAATAAAATTTTGTTAGATTTTTAAAGATTTTAAAGATTTTCAGGGATTTTGAGTAGATCTTACGAGTTTCTCTGGGATTTTGACCAACTTGTATACAAATTTTCATCAATTAACCGCTCGTTCTCCATAAAATGTGTACATAATTGAATCTAGGTAGGTGATTTTGTAGAATTTTGAGGATTTTGAAAAACTTCACGTGATTTTAAAAGATTTTAGATTTATGAGATTTTAGGTGATTTTGGATCATTTTAGAGAATTTAGAAAGGGTTTTTATGGCATTTTTACCAACTAATTTAGGGGAGCCTTAACGATAAGTATTCCATGGGAGTTCTGCGAAAATTTTTGTTAATTTCATAGAAATTCCTCAGAATTTCACTAGAAGATTTTATGGAAATTGTCGAAATTTCATTCAAATGACAAATTTGAATAGAAAAACAGAAAGTCGTAGAAATTTTATCATAAGATATACATAATACTTTTCAGAATTTCACCATAAGATTCCATGGAATTCCACCATAAAATTCAATGGAATTCTTGTACAAAAATTCCTCGGAATTGCCGTAAAAGATTTCATGAAATTTCTCAGAATTCCACTAAAATTTTATGTAATTCGACAGAAATTACTCAGAATTTCACTAGAACTTAATTCAATTTTTCGGAATTCCGCCGAAATTTTTCGTGGTTCCATGGAAATTTCACGGAAATTCTGTTTAATTCCAAGGGAATTCTTCGGATTCGATGTAATTCCACTGGAATTCCACCATAAGATTTCAAGGAATTCCATGTATGTAATTCGACGAGAATTCCTTGGAATTTTACTCGACATTTCATCGAAATTTTATGTAAGTCGACACAAAGTGAAATTGTATATAATTTGATAAAAATTCTGCGAATATTTAATAATTTTTTTTTTCGATATACCACTGAAATTCTCCAAAATTCTATAGAAATTCCAAATTCCATAATTTTTTTAAAACTTCACTGAAATTCCCCAAAACTTCACCACTGAAATATCCTAGAATTCCACAAAATTTTAATAAAATTTTTTGGAATTTCACTGACATTTCCTGTAATTTCTTAGAAATTCCTCTGAATTTCACAAAAATTTTATGAGAATTTTTTGAAATTTCACTGAAATTCCAAGTTATTAGTCAAAAATTTCTCGAAATTCCAATGAAACTTCAATTTTTTTTTTTCAACATTTCATTTATTTCCATATGAATTTTTCGGAATTTCACTGAAATTCTCTTTCAATAGTCAGGAGTTTCTGGGAATATTAATGACACTTCAAGTAATTTCTTGAAAATTCACCGAAATATATTGAAATTTCATATCATTACATGGGAATTTTTCCAAATTTTACTGAAATTCCAAGTTTTTAGCCGGAAATTTTACTAAAATTCAGTAAATCCATGGGAATTTTTCGGAATTTCAATTTCACTAAAATGCCATGTTTTCAACTGGGAATTTCTTGGAATAAAAATAAAAATTCGTGTTATTAAATTAGGATTTTTCGGAATTTCACTGGAATTCCTTATGAAACGATAAGAGTTGTTCAAAATTTCACTTAAATTTCATGTAATTCCCTGACAATTCCTTGGAATTCCATGCAATTGCATCGGAGCTCCATATAATTCGACGAAAATTCTTCGGAATTGATGTAATTTTTTGAAACTTTTTTAAAATTCTTCATGTAATTTAACGAGTAATTAAATTTCGTGTTGGGAATTTCGGTGTAATTCCATGTAATTGTTTGGAATTCCTCCATGCAACTCATTCAGGATTTCATGTAATTCGATCGAAATTCCACTGAAATTTCATGTAATTTCTCTAAATTTCATATTTCATGTAATTCGAGAGGAACTAAAATTTATTGTGAATTCTATGGAAACTCCGCAAAAATTGCACATGTCACATTTCACACCATAAAATTCAATGGGATTCTTCGAATTTTTTTTTCTTCAGAATTATAATGTAAGATTTCCGAGGGGTTATTCACTAAGGGAAAAATGTGACAAGATTTCGGATTTAGAGCGATTTAGAGGGACTTCGGGTGATTTCGGAGGATTTCGGTAAAATTTCGGTGGGATTTCGAGGGATTATTCACTGTGACAAGATTTCAGATTTAGGTGATTTCGGAGAATTTCAGGTGATTTCGCAAATATTTTAATTTGATTTCAGACTGTTACTTATCTTATAAGAATTTTCAAAGGTGTATTAGTATAAACTGAAAAATGGCCGCGTTGACCGATTTATAAATGTTAGGCCAATTGCGAGGGATTTTTGGGTTTACGGAAAGATTTCTGAATGATTTCGGAGGGATTTCGGAGTGATTTCGTGGATTTCGGAAAGATTTCGAGGATTTCAGACGAATTTATGACACGATTTCGCGGAGTGATCAACCACTTGAAGATTTCATGAAATTCTTCGGAATTCCAGTAAAATTTCAAGTTATTCCATGGAAATTCCACGAAAATTTTAAGTAATTCCATAGAAATTCCTCAACATTTCACCAGAAGATTTTATGGAATTCTTAGACAAATTTTTTTCTGAATTACAGTGATTAACCCCTCGAAGATTTCATGAAATTCCTCGGAATTCCACTAAGATTTCAATTTCAAAATTCCATAAAAATTCATTTTTTTTTTTTTAACTTTACTGAAATTCCCCAAAATTTTACCACTGAAATATCCTGGATGGAATTCCACAAAATTCTTCGGAATTTCATTGATATTTCATGTAATTTCTTAAAAATTCCTCGGAATTCACTAAAATTTTATGAGAATATTTTCAAATTTCACGTTCATAGCCGCAAATTTCTCGAAAGTTCAATGAAACAAGGAATTTTCCAAAATTTAATTTCTTTCATAAAATTTTTTCGGAATTTCACTGAAATTCTCTTTTAATAGCCAGAAATTTCTGGGAATATTAATGAAACTTCAAGTAATTTCTTGAAAATTCACCGAAATATATTGAAATTTCATGTCATTACATAGGAATTTTTTGGAATATCAACAAAATTCCATGTTTTTAGCCGGAAATTCCTCGGCATTCTACTTTACTAAACTGAGAACTGAAATTTCATGTTGGGAATTTCGATGTAATTGTTTAGAATTCCTCCATGTAATTCATTTAAGATTTCGTGTAATTTGATCGGAATTTCACTGAAATTTCATGTAATTCGAGAGGAATTAATATTTAATGTGAATTCTATGGAAACTTCGCAAAAATTTCACATGTAATTCCTTTTTCAGAATAACATAATTATTCTACCGAAATTCCTCGAAATTCAACTAATTATAGAATTCTGAGAGACTTTAACAGATTTTTGGGGATTCCAAAGGATATTTGGGAATTTCAAAGGAAATATTTTTTAGGAATGTTAATAATTTAATGAGATTTTGCAGGATTTTTTTGGCTTTAATGACATTCTGTTAGATTGTGTAGGATTTTATGCAATTTCAAGAGATTTTGTGGGATTTTATTAAATTTTTAAGGATTTCAAAGATTTTTAGGGATTTTCAGCAGTCTTATGAGATTTTCTGGGAATTCGACTAACTTGTACACGGATTTTGACCAGTTAACCACCCCTCGCTTCTTACTAAAACGATGAAATTTCAATTTTTTTTATGTAAAGATTTTGTATTAGGATACAATCAATCAACATACCCCAAACTCCATACACTAAATTATTCTCAGATTTGAAGCCGAAATCTATGAAAAAAGGCACTCAGAAAAATTGAAAAATTGATAAATCACCCCAAATTGCTTAACACGATTTTATCTCAGGAACTATGAGTCCAAATGAGCTGAAATTTTCAGATTGTAGTCTTCTACTGGGATAAGAATCGCTGAAACTTTCAGCTTTCTATCTTTAATAAAAAAAAAGTTATGACCTTTCAAAGTTTCCCAAAATCTTAATCATAATTCTTTTATACAATTCTTGTCCATCATAATTAATTACTCAAACTTCCCCACTAAGAAAAAAGTGCTATAGCCTTACCTGGAAATACATTACTTTCCTTAAGACATCAACGTCGCATATTGATTGGGTCACAAAATCCAATAATGAAGCCATTAAATGTAAGTTTTCACTGCAAACTTTGCTCATTTGTTTTTCAGTTAGTTTTGAAACAATGCCTGGAATGAAAACACAGTTATGAATCATAATAATGTGGGAATTAGTTGAAGATTACCAGACAAAATGACATCATATTCCAGTTTTTTTTCTTTTTCCTCTTGATTCGGTTCAATTCGCAGGGCGTTTTCTGGTTTCTCAACGCTCCATTTCTCATCTAATTCAGCTTTTATATCTTCCACTGGATTTTTTGAAGCATTTGAGGTGAAAGAATCGGTCAATACGTTTCTTGCGTCACCTGATAATAAGGCAAAAAGAAAATTACTAACTACAAAACATTTTTAATAAAATAATTTACTTTTTTGTGCTCCATTTTTGATCTCATTATTCATATCATCCGTTTCGCTTTTGCTTTCAGCAATTTTACCTTCGGAGGGCGCCTTTTTCATTACAGATTGCTTCACTAAATCCTCGTGCGACTTTCTTTCTACACTTTGTGATTGTATTGTAGCATTTACAATATCTTCTGGCTTTTGTATGTCTGATGTGTGTCGACCGCATTTCAAATCTTTGATAACCTAAAAGAAATTTCAAATAGTATTTTGTTAAATAAATTCTAATTAATTACTTTTTTTACTAAAGTCCTGACTCTTGGTTCCTTGTATAATACATTAACTTTTTTGAATGCTTCCATTTCAACACTAATAGCTGGTTTAACTTCGTATAAAAGGAAGCGGCATTTTTCCAAAAGTGGAATGCATATTTCCTTATAACTTTTATTCGCTTCTTGTCTAGTTTTTATTAGATTCCATTTGGTCTGATGCACCTGCCTAATCATTTCAGCTATTGACTTTGGTAATGCCCTTAAACTGTTTGGCTGGCAAGAATCTAAAATAAATTTTCAACAAAATGAAAAATACCCCATTTTGTTTCAACATAAACTTACATGTATCTAAAATTGGCAATAAAACATATCCTAATCCTAAGTGTTTTAGTAATACAGCAAATAAGACTCTTCCAATTTCTTCCATGGGGTGTTCAAATGAAAAATCCACTCTCATTAGGTAATTGTTGGCTTTTGAATGTTGTTCTACAATTGCTAGAAAGGCTATTACATATTGATCCTGGAAAAAATACATAATTTTATCAGGAAAACTTGTAAAAATTATCACTTACTGATAGTCTACTTTCTGCCAAAGCATTGATAAAAGAATTTATTCGATCGATAGGCAAATGAAAGTTTCTACTGAGGATTTTTTGACACTGAACTCTATTAGGCTCAGTAGGTGTATTATCAGATGTAGAATTAGTGCTTCTAGATTCTCCTTTTTCCTCTCCATAAGGATTGGGAGGTTGATCAACTTGAAGTCCACCAGATAAAAATGGTGCATTAATCCAGTGCTTAGATTGGAGTTCTTCCTCTTTTAATGGCAAGCTTTGACGCAAATTAAAAGCGTGTAATCCTAAAAGATATCCCAAATTTCTTTCGCAGTCTAATAACATATAACATGTATGCATGAAATCTAGATTTCCTATGTTAGTGGCCTCTGTTTCAGGAAGACAATAGTTGCCAACTAAATAATTTTCCATTAGAGGCAATAAATGGGGATAAGAAGTGTGAATCAGTGCACTGACATCTTTTCCTGTATATTTTTGTAGGATTTCTGTGATTGCAGAGTTGTCGCTGCGGAAATCTTGTATATCGTAGACTTTGTTGTTTAAAACTAACCATCTGAAAGTATGTGTTTATTTAATACATGTTTGAAAATTTAAAATAAATTAAAGTTACCTTCCTCCGTCTGAATTGTAATTTTCCAAATCGGATTTCCTAATAAGAGGAAGATCATCGTGTGGTTTGTGTGTAGTAATTGGAGGTTTTGCCTGAAGCAAAAAGAAAAGATAACTATGCGAAAATTGTTATATTAGATTGCCTTACTTGTGATACACCAGGCCAACTAATGTCGTCAAAATCAAGATTTTCTATATCCGGTGATACGTTACACAGCTTATCTAAGCAGTTGAGGGTTTCTTTGAAAGTTGCTAGCCAATCGAGGGATATTAGGAACATGTCTAGTTCTTGTTCTAGTAGGATGAGGCTCACTAGAAGCTCTGGCAATAACACTCCTAGAACCAAGAAACCAATAAGTTGTTAGGCATTTTGATTATTTTCAGAACTGTTTCCAATATAACCTTATATGATGATCACAATATAAATATTAAAATATTAGCAGTACTTACCGATGATGTCGCTCTTGAAAACTTGCATCACATAGTTGAAATTCTTAGAATTAATAATGCAAATATCATAGGCAATATTCAGGGTTGTGGTCATGTGAGTGCTGAAGCACTCGATATACTTTGACAAGAGCGTTTCAGCTGATTCTCGACATTCAGAATTTTGTAGAATTTTTCCTGAAATCAAAAATATTGATTCAGGTTTAGAATAATAGAATGTGGCAGCAGTATAAATTCATAAGTAAGTTTGCATGGTTAGCTACCTATCAATAATCTTTGCAATCTTTGTAGAAGTTTCAGGCTTGGAGAAGCGGAATGTTTTTGATGAAGGTTTTTGCCTGTGGAACAATATTCTTTCATTGATGTTTGAGTCAGATTGCAGCTATTCCTGAAGAAAAATATATGTTTCAACCAATTTTCTTAACAATCACTTAACTCAAATTAATACCTGATTAGTTGCCTGACCAAATATAGTAGAGGTATACTAAAAGGAGAAGACCCAATATCATAATTTTCATCCAAATTGGGCATTTCAGAAATATCAGCTTTTAGAAACTCGTCCAAAGCAGTTTCTAGACCACCATCAGCCATCAGAGACCATACCAACAAATCTGTCATAAACCTATGGCCAGTTTTACACATTTTCGTTTCCATATCTGTATTTAGCAATAGAGCTGATAAAGTTCTGGCTCTTCCATTAGGCGTCGGTAGCAAAACGGACCAGCCAGCTTGAAGCACTGCTTGCGCCGAAGCTTGGACACTAGGCAAAATATTAGAACTGCTAGCTAGATGAACTACTTTGGATTTAATGGATGCCAGTAGCTTTCCTGTTGGAGCCAGGCCAAAACTTTTCGGATCCATATTATTACCGATTATACTGTGAAGTTGCAGCTGTAAAAGATTCAATGTTGATACTGCAATACATTCTTTGTCCTGCGTTGATGGAGGGCTTAGAGTTACAACTGTCAATAGCTGATCTAGATATCTACAACAATTTGTATGAAAAGATGTTTTGTTTTTTTTTGCAAAAACTTCTTACTTGAAAGTGTTCTCTGACAAATCTAAAACCATTGGTATAGCTGTGGCTGGAATAAAACTATACAAATCTGTCCAAGCGAAGCTTTGAATGGGACCACAAGTTATACCAACCACTCTATGCTCTTTTAAAGATTCAATAACTTTCGGTTGCTGAATAACAGCTTCGTTAGTATCAGCAATCTGTCTATTTTCATTTTTTCCCCAGCCTAAAACTTCTCCGTCCTCTGTCAGAGCTAAACAATGTGAGGTTCCTATTGCAACAGAAACAATTTTCTTATCCTGTAATGCTTCTACTAATTCGGGAGTCCGGACATGTTCTTCTGATGGGTGTCCAAGCTTCCAACCTTCTCCCTGCAAAATGTATGTTTTATTTTTTGCAGAAATAAATTTACTGATGCATACCTTTCCCCAAGAATAGACTTTCCCTTCCTTCGATAAAGCAACACTGAAATGGGTTCCACACCAGACTTTAGTAATTTCCACCTACAGAAAATATATTCAAGATTTCCACACAAAAACCACTAAATCCATAAATACCTCTTGCAATTTCTCAATTATTCTCGGTATTTTACTGCCTTCGGCTCCGCCTCTACCTAATTTTCCATAGTCTCCATCGCCCCAACTGAACACGCGTCCCTTAGAAGTAACACAAAGTGTATGTGCGTCGCCTGATCCACAAGCCACACCCACAACTTGGTGACTCGCTAATGTAACTACAAAGTCGGGTGTTAGCACGTCTTCAAAGCTGCCGTGACCTAGACGTCCATAGTTGCCACGCCCCCATGTGTAGAGGAAACCGTTAGATGATATAGCGGCACTATGAACACACCCAATAATTTAGAAATGTATGCTATGGATTTGTATTCCAGGATACTTTGTTAAGGTATTGACTGAATTGGCGGAGGATAGGGAAGGGGTTAGAAATGTGAACTTTGTTAAAAAAAAAAGTGACAGCGATTTTTATTTGTTGTATTTGAAATACAAAAAGTTATTGAAAATAAAACCTCACCTGTAAGTTGCTCCACATTCTATTGAAACTATATTTTTCCCGTGTAACGCTACTATATCTGTAGGTTCGTCTTTGGCTAAAGTATCTCCATGGCCTATGAGAATACATTCGAGAAAATTACAGTCAATTTATTTTCGAATCATTATTACCTAATCGGCCATTGTCCCCGTTTCCCCAAGAATAAACAAAATTATTACTATCCAGAGCCATATAATGTTTTCCTTCAACATGAGTAGCAATCATTACAATTTCCTTGTCTTTTAAAAGTTCCACTTGCTGTGGACATTGAGTCTCTGATGTGTAATACACAAAATAAACTGCACCAGTACAAGTCAGCAATAGCACACCTAAACATGAAAATTAGTCGGAAAAAAACTACCAGAAAATAAAATTTTAACCTCTTTCGGAACATTTGATTTGTTTGATGCTCAATTCAGCTAGAGATTCACAAAGTTGTGGTCCTGGATTCGAAGCCCAACTCAACCAACCCCAGCCCCAAAGTCTTTGAGCATTCAAACTTGACAAAGACTAAAAAAAAAATATATTTTTGCAATGTGAATTTACAAAAAAAAAATAATTTGTACTTTGTTGAAAGATACTGGCGGCATGTGAGGTGCTGCCAGTTGATCCAAACGTGACATGACAAAAACGGCAGTCTGCTTAAGATCCACTTCCTCGTATTCCAAGTCGGGTAAGTCAAGCAAATCCAAAAAAACTTTTGTACAGCTATTTGTTTCTTCTTCTATTTTATTGTGGAACGAGCCTAGGTGTGAAGGGGTTGGCGATATTTCAAGAAAACGACTAAGAAATGGCAAGAGTGGAGCACTGGCGTTTTCAACAGATTCTCTACAAGTTTGGTTTTATATAGTATTATATTTATCTCAACTTCTAGCCCACTCACCTATTATCAACTAAATGAATCCTTTTATCCCATAAGCTTAACATCAGCAAAACCATATCCAAGACTCCACTCAAAGTGCCTCTTTGCAAAGCAAATTCCAAAAGAATATTCAAGGATCTATGCTGATCTTCTCTTGGAATATTACAATTTTGCCTGCTTGTTTCCCTAAAATAATATTTTCATCTTCAGATATCAAGTAAGTATTAATCATAAGTACCCTTCAACAACTTGTTTAAAAAATTTAGATGATTTTTCAACAACCTCTAACCAAACAGGTGAAATATCAGCCTGATTATATAAAGTACAGGGAGAAAGCATTCTTAAAGCATCTAGAGATTCTTCCAAAAGATCACTACAAATGTCGATGTCTTCACCTGAAAATACAACAAATAACACTAAAATTAATCTACAAAACTCATTATTAGATAGGTTTTAGGCATTGTCTAACTAGAACTATGTAGAACTTACCTAATCGCCATGCACGTCTTAAAAAAGCAAAAGATAAATTTAGGGCAGCCCGGGAGCCAACTCTTGCTAATCCTATTGCTGGATCTAAATGAGATATCTAAAAACATTTCTCTGTTAATAGCTATTGCAAAATATACCATGCATTTGAAACATAAATTATTTATATACTAACCTTTTTGCCTTTGGTCATTAGATCTTTAGCTGTACTAGACTTATTTTTAGTAATTTCAGTTGCAACTCTTGTGTTTGGAGTGATACCTTGTTCAAAATCGATGCTGTGAGGTACACGGTTCAAGGCGATAAAATACCGATTCATAATCATTAACTTATAATATAAACGGGTTGATGATAGAGTGGAATGAGCTGCTTCCGAACATAAAGATGATTGTTCGTTGTTTAAACTTTGGATGCAGAGTTTTAATTGTTCTTGAGCTAGAGAGAATAAGCAATAATTTGTGAGATGATTCCTACTACCGTATTTAAAGGATTTGGTTGGAAGCTTACATGGTTGAGGTCCCCAAGCCCATTGATTCAGCAAGGTGTCCATAAGTGGAATTTTATCTTTTCTAATAATAGGCTGGGTAGCTTTTTCGGCATCCAGTTTCTGGCATGGCGAGCAGTTGCAACCGGATTGTGGACCGCAGATGCCATCGCAGCAGGTGCATGTTAAAACCTGCAATAATTGTACTTATATAGAATATCATGGTAAAATATTTGGATTGTTCTAATAATGATTGTGATATTTTAGATTCTTTTTTTCTTGGGAATTTGGGCTCTGGAAATTATATTTTGGAATTTTTTTGCATAACTCAATTCATAAAATTGTCCAGGATCCAAGAGTATATGTAACCTTAAATTCTTGTGTTTTTCTTTAGATTAAACTAAATGGTTTTAAGCATTGGCAAAAGAAAATCTCTCAGGCCAGGTGATGAAAACTTACAGGAGTTATATCTAACTCTAAGCCTAAAGAGAAAGAAGATTTAACCTCAGAGGATTTAATCAACATAGTAAAGAAAGTTGGACACAAACCTCAAGTTAATTTGACTGCTGAACCATTTACTAAGGGAGGATAAGAGGTGCAAGAACCCTATCAGGTTTGAGAGTATTGCGGTAACCGGGGCGGTAACTATTAAAAACAAACCATTAACTCTGACTTTAATATTTCTACACTCACTTCTAAAGACGAAAATAGAATTGAACAACTAAGAAATCATTATGTATTGGTACAGCAAGATTTACATATTACCCAACCAGCAGAACGATGTTTATGAATTACACTAAAAACTTTATTCTCGAAACAGAGGAGCAGCGTTCTCATGAGAACGAAGGTTCTGTCTTCATCATCCGTATTTATATTTCCATAACACTGACAATGACAGAACAATTGTTCTCATGAGAACGCTGTTCCTCGGTTTCGAGAATAAAGTCCCAGTTCTATTGAAGTCTTATGTCAGCGATTTCCGGACCACAGGCTTTTGGTGATTGGGGACTATAACTTACCAGAGGCTAATGATGAGTATGGAGTTAATGTTGTACCCATGTCCTGAAAATTTAAGTGCCTTGACTGTAGCCACATCTTTTGGATTTCTTCTCGGATTTCTTAATATCTTTCAGGTTAACACTCCGAACAATAGAGGAGTATTAGTTATTAATAAGGATAGTGATCCACTAAGGTAGTAGGTTACTGATTTTGTATTGTAATGTAATAAAAAAATAAGTATTGTATTGTATTGTATTGCAACTTTATAGGGCTCAATGATTTTTTTGAATCGATTCAGTGGGGCGACACTAATATAAATAGTGGTATCATAAGTATTTTATAATGGTGAAGTAATTGCATATTTTGTACCTAAAAAAATCCAAAACGAAAAACTATTCTCCTAAATGGTTCTCGGTAAAATTTAGGCATTTAACTTCTATGAAATGAAAAGCCCATAAAAGTTATATCAATGATATGGTCATTTGGTAAATTATTTCCACTGTCTACTCGTCAAGTTCTTCATTTGATCACACGTTTAACAGAAATTTACCCTTATAATAATATCAATTGGCAGTCGGAGCATTGATGAGCCTCTCTGATAGGATCATGGTAGAGCACGATGGTATTCCTGAGTTACTTTTAAAGAAATGTGTTTGTACATATATAGAACCAATCACAATTTTATTTAATAATTCTATGATTGGTTCAGAATACTCAGAGCTCTGGAAAAAAAGCTTTTTAGTACTGATTTTTAGGAGTGGTGATAAAAAAAAACATAATAAATTATAGAAGTATTTGTACCTAATCTACCATTCCAGAACTGTTTGACAAACAAATACCTGAACATTTAACATGGTTGATGAGGCTCAGCATGGTTTTACAAGGGGCAAATTTAAAACCTCCATTTTAGTTTTATATTAGTCATTACTGTTGAAAACTTTGGAAGACAAAAATCAAGTTGATGCTATCTATACAGATTTTTCCAAAGCATTTGACAGTGTTGATCATACTGTTCTTTTTAAGAAATTCTATCAATTTGGGTCCCATTCAAGAATAATTCAGCGGTTTTCTAGTTTCTTACTGGTGGAGTAGATATAAAAAGTTAAGATTGGCAGTTTTTTGTCTAAAAATATTCCAGAACTTTCATCATAGTACATATAACTATTAGCTTTTGCAGAGTAGGTATTTCAAATTTTTTAGAATAATAATAATGGTTCTGATACTGTATTATTACAGGAAGATTTGAGTCGCTTACTCTCATGGTGTGATGTAAATAAGCTGAAGTTAAATGTTGTTATACAATAAGTTTTTATCAAGGGGCAGCTCACTAACCACAATTTGTACCATCGATTTCGGAAATAGAAGGGGATTTCGATAATTTTCAAGGAATTTTGTGATTTCGAAAGATATCGGGTATTCGACTTTTGACGCCATACCACTAGAGATTTCGAGGATTTCAATAAATCCATTGGGATTTTGAAAGAATTCCGGATACGGTTTTGCATTTTGGGATTTCCAAATGATTTCGAAAGAATCTCACGGAATTTCGGATGAAAATGAACAACGATTTTAGGTAGTGAGGCACTCACCACAATTTGTACATCGATTTCGGAAATCGGCAGGGGATTTTGATAATTTCTAAGGGATTATGGCAGGGTTGACAAAAGCCCATTTCAAAAATTTACCATCAAATATTGAAAAAAACCCAGAGGGCTTTTGGCTTTTGATGTCAAAAACCAACTCATATAGAAGTCATTCCTACCATAGCCATAGCTAGAAATATTAATCCTCGTATCAATCCAATATCTAAAATTATTCACGTTTTACGTAGCGAGAGCCGCACCTCGCTTTTTTTAGATTCAACAAAAAGATAAATTCTCATTATTAAGTTAAAAAAAAGTAAAGAAATTAAATATACACCTGAAATAAGAGACTTTTGATAAGGGACTAAAATTTGTTGAACATATTAGCTTTGTTCCAACCCAGCAGGAAATCGTAATATTATCGTCAGAATTCTGACCAAAACCCAAAATGTTTGCGTAGAAACCGAAATTTGCATACAGAGCGGTTCCAAAACCGTTCTGGGACGGTATTTTGGGGGGTTGGAACAAACCTATTAGGAATGCAGTTGTACAGTCCTCTAAGCTGTTGGGTTTTGTTTCAAGGAATTGTAAGAATTTCTCAATTCTTCTGCTAAATGTATTTACATCAGTTTAGTAAGATCTACATTGGAATATGGTTGCATTGTATGATGGTCGCCCTATCATAATTGTCAGTTGAGAGAGTCAGAACAAATTTTTAGTTGACACCGAGGCTTGAAGTATATTTCAGAAGTGTCCAAAGGTGATTTCAAGGGAAAAACCACCTAGGAATTCTCTGCCAAAAATGTAGGGAATTTAGAGAAATTTGTGGGAAATTTAGAGGAATTTGTGGGGAATTTGAAGGAACTCATCGGAATTTATGAAAATTTGAGGAATTTATATGGAATTTGAAGGAATTTATGGGGAATTTGAAATAATTTGTGAGGAATTTAAAGGAAATTGTAGAGTCATGACATTACCGAGGTTCATATTCGTATTATAAGAAATAGTAATAAATGGAAATTTGAAAAAAAATTAGTTTTGTGTTGGATATTCATTTTTATTAAAAAAATTACACTACATGATTTACAGGTCCAAATTTAAAAAAATCAAAAGAATAAGGAATACAATTTTTGTAGGCTAATTTTCAAGATTTTTCATGTTATTTTCCACTGAAAAAATTTGGAATTTTGGGAAAATGAACTTCTCACCTTCCTCTTTACATGCAAAAAGTTTCAAAATTTTCCCTTCTCTAGTTTTCCAGGAAAACTTTGAAATATGTGACACTGTATTTTCAACTAATTTAGTTTGTGTAGGTTGATTTCCAAGATTTTCCATGTTGCTGTTTCCTACTGGAAAAATTTAAAATTTTGGGAAAATAAGCTTCCTAACTTCCTTTTTACATGCAAAAAGTTTTAAAATTTTCCCTTCACTAGTTTTCTAGGAAAACATTGAAATGTGTTAGGCTGTATTATCAATTAATTCAGTTATTGTAGGTTCATTTCCAATATTCCTTATGTTATTATTTTCTACTGGAAAAATTTGAAATTTAGGGAAAATGAGCTTCTCACCTTCCTCTTCACATGCAAACAGTTTCAAAATATTCCCTTCACTAGTTTTCCAGGAAACTCTAAAATGTATGAGACTGTAAATGTATGAGACTGTATTTTCAACTTATTCAGTTTTTGTAGGTTGATTTCCAAGATTTTTCATGTTGCTGTTTTCTACTTGAAAAATTTGAAATTTTGGGAAAATGACCTTCTCAGCTTCTTCTTTGCATGCAAAAAGTTTCAAAATTTTCCCTTCTCTAGTTTTCCAGGAAAACATTGAAATATATGAGACTGTATTTTCCATTAATTCAGTTATTTTAGGTTGATTTCCAATATTCCCTATGTTGTTATTTTCCACTGGAAAAATTTGAAATTTTGGGAAAATGAGCTTTTCACCTTCCTCTTTACATGCAAAAAACCTTCAAAATTTTCCCTTTACTAGTTTTCCAGGAAAACTTTGAAATGTGTAAGACTGCATTTTCAATTATTTCAGTTATTGTAGGTTGATTTCCAAGATTCCTCATGTTGTAATTTTCTGCTGGAAAAATTTGAAATTTTGGGAAAATGAGCTTCTCACCTTCTTCTTTACATGGAAAAAGTTTCAAAATTTTTCCCTTCAGTAGTTTTCCAGGAAAACTTTGAAATGTGTGAGACTGTATTTTCAACTAATTCAGTTTTTGTAGGTTGATTTCCAAGATTTTTCATGTTGCTGTTTCGTACTGGAAAAATTTAAAATTTTGGGAAAATAAGCTTCCTAACTTCCTTTTTACATGCAAAAAGTTTTAAAATTTTCCCTTCACTAGTTTTCTAGGAAAACATTGAAATGTGTTAGGCTGTATTATCAATTAATTCAGTTATTGTAGGTTCATTTCCAATATTCCTTATGTTATTATTTTCTACTGGAAAAATTTGAAATTTAGGGAAAATGAGCTTCTCACCTTCCTCTTCACATGCAAACAGTTTCAAAATATTCCCTTCACTAGTTTTCCAGGAAACTCTAAAATGTATGAGACTGTATTTTCAACTTATTCAGTTTTTGTAGGTTGATTTCCAAGATTTTTCATGTTGCTGTTTTCTACTTGAAAAATTTGAAATTTTGGGAAAATGACCTTCTCAGCTTCTTCTTTGCATGCAAAAAGTTTCAAAATTTTCCCTTCTCTAGTTTTCCAGGAAAACTTTGAAATATATGAGACTGTATTTTCAATTAATTCAGTTATTTTAGGTTGATTTCCAATATTCCTTATGTTGTTATTTTCCACTGGAAAAATTTGAAATTATGGGAAAATGATCTTCTCACCTTCCTCTTTAGATGCAAACAGTTTCAAAATGTTTTCTTTTTTTAGAGGAATTTGTGGTGTATTTGGAGAAGTTCGCGGTGGGCTATTTGGAGGAATTTGTCATGGGGTATCTGAAGGCATTTGGAGGAATTTGCCATAATTTTTGAGGAATTATGCATTAAAAATTCCCCTTTGAGGAATTGTTGGCACCAATTCAGGGATGGTGGTTTACCGCTTTGGTAATTTAATAGGAATTTTACATGATTTTATTGCATGTAAATGAGAAAAAATTCCTAATTACATTTCTGAGCCTCAGATCCATTAACGATTTGTTCTGTTTGATAAAAAGATCCTACTCAATGAATCCTGAAAGTTTGAAGTTCCTCTGATTACTTGAAGCAAAGTTGACCCCATGTAGTTTCGTAGATTAAACAATGAATTGCGCTTTGTTTCTTATATTCTCAAGTATCACATAGATGGCCCTCAATTACAAATCAAGCTTCATGTTCCTGACAACTAAGACACAAATATATATTTTATGTAGATTTTTACACAATTTCATGTGAACTCCCCTCCAAGTAAAAGTCTATCAGTGATTTGTAAATTAGTGGAATAACTAAAAGTGGGTTTGTTAAGTTATGTGATGAAGTGGTTGTGTAAGTTATAGTCATCACTAGCATATGGCTGATCCTCGGGCTGATCACATTGGGTTTTTGTTAAAATAATACCTATATTTTGTAAGATTGTTACATTTAATAGGGTACCTACCTAATCCTGTCAATAAATACCTAAATAAATAAATGAATACATAGGAAACTAATGCATGTGGTTTGAGTTTGCCACAGGTCATTCATTTTATGTAAGTCGAGATGTAAGTCCGAGACTAAGTCTAAATTTGGTAGGTCTAACCTAAGGGTCGAGCTAAGGGTCTAACAGCATGTTACCACGTTTGCGGATGAAACCATACTCTTGGCTTCAGAAAATTCAAGCAGGTAGTCCAGACTCCAGACCAAGGTTTTAAAATTTGAATTTGGATACGACCATCTTATACACACGGATAACTTGTACAGACAACTACCTGTTATGAAAATAAATAAAAAACTGATGTTGGAGTAGTGCAAATTTATATTTACCTAAAGTTATATTCATAGAGAACAAAAATCCGAGTAAAAATCCAACACCAGTAAAGTATTAACAGATCAAAATCACTCTGATCATACAAGATACAATTCCAGCATATTTCTAGACAATGTTAAAGCGGAAGGGCAATCGATTTTCTCAAGCCTCCAATTCTTTTTGTTAAGTGTCTTTAAAAAATTATTATACCTTGCAAGTACTCAATAAAGATGGTTTTGGTTCCACCCAATTATTAGAATTATCCAAGGAATTTTCATAAATAAGGTTGGTTTAAATCAAGGTTGTTTGAAAGAGTTTCTGGAAGCCTAAACATAATGCAAATCTCCATTAGATCTTCCTGATGACGTCATTCGTTTACCATTACCAGACAACCTATTAACTCAAGGAACCTTGGGTTTGAATCCAATAAATTTAAAAGTTTAATATGAGGATATTTTCATGAAGGGTTGTCCTACTTTACTCCTACTATATAGTTTTGCTACAATGCCAGTAATGATATTTACTTTTTTCTGATTCAATAGTTTGCTTGTTCAACTTACTATTTTACTATAAAGTATAGTATAATTATGAATGAGTAGCAATAGAATTAAACCACTTGTTCAATTGATGAAATCGTTGAACTTCAAAACAGATTAGAAACTTACCCGTTGTCCGCAATAATATTTTCCAAAGTCTCCTTCCTTTGCCATAACACCGGCACTGTTGAGAAGCCCCGGTGAGAAATTTCCCGTAAGTTCTCCATCGGATATCAAACTGTTCCAGACATTCACCAAATTTTCGTTGCTGTAAAAGAGACTTTCTATGTTCGTTTTGAGCCATTTGAGATCGAGCCGAGGCTGCGCCCTTAGCTGGGCTTCGCAGCGCGACATTATTTATCTTAAAATATCATTATTTTCAGTATTTTATTTGTTTGAGAAGTTTAATAGTTCAATGTTCAATAGAAAGGTGCCAAACCAAACCACAAACACTAGCGCTAACCACCCACCACCAGCTGATTTTTGTTATTGAAAAATTTGACATCTCTGACTTCACAATGTTGCCAGATTAGACCGACCAAAAACCCCAGAGTCAAAAGTAAGGAAGAAGTTCTCTATAGTTGTATTCCTTTCACACCTAGGAGGAGCTCCGGAACGCCCCTTTCGAAAAGTGTTGGTTGCACCACGCATCTGTTCCCTGCAAATTGGGGGCTCCTGAACACCGGAGCGAGTAGCTCGAGTGTTTCAAACTTTTGAACGGAATACAGCTTATATTGGTTTGTTTGTTTGTGTTGTTCGGAGCAGCAATTCCTGCTTTGGGGCGTTCGTTTGTGTTATGGCAATGATTATGAACTGACGAGCATTCGTTTGTGAAGTGCAGTTTGTTCAAAACTGTTTAGTTCATGTTCAACCTGCACTTGCTTTCGAGGAGCAGGAAGTTAGGGCAGCCTAGAATTAAATGTCACAAACGCTACATATGATGATTCCGTGTTCCTTCCATTATTCCTCTATATAAAAAAGTGACAGCATGCAACGTCACAGTCCTCTCCACTATATGCCTATTGCCTAATACTCATAACTGCGAAATTCGCACTTTTTTGACATTGCTTCGACAAATTGACGTTTTATGCGTGAATCAAACGTCAAATTGTCGAAGCAATGTCAAAAAAGTGCGAATTTCGCAGTTATGAGTACTAGGCTAAGCTGGCTTGGGCTTGCACACTCCGTGCACTCCGAGTGACTCCGTTCGCACTCCAGCCGTTGTCTGATTCGTTAAAACGCAATACCCGAACGGCTAGAGTGCGAAAGGAGTCACTCGGAGTGCACGGAGTATGCAAGCCGAACCCAGCTCTTAATGTACCATCGTCACCAAAAGTAACTGGGACAGCATCACATTAGCGGCCATTAGCCCTTGTCCTATTATATAAATTTTATTGTCAAATATTTGTCAAACTATAGCCTAGTACTCATAGCTGCGAAATTCGGATTTTTTTGACATTGTTTCGACAATTTGACGTTTGATACACGCATAAAACGTCAAATTTTCAACGCAATGTCAAAAAAATGCGAATTTCGCAGTTATGAGTACTAGACTTATGAATTAAATGCATTGAAATGAATGACAGTAGAATTAGTCCAAGAGATTATTATGCATTATTTGTGTCCCAGATACTTTTGGTGACGATGGTACCTACAATGCCATGCAATGCACCGTCATGATTCTGCGCAAAGCCAAAAATTTGTGCATAGAACCATTAGAACCCGAAACTCGTAAACAGAGTGGTTTCGAAACCGTTTATAGGACGGTTTTTGACGTGTTGGAATAAACCTATAATAAAAAAGTCCGTTCGTTTATATCAGCTTTTTAGGCCTTTTTCGGCAGAAATCACAAACCAGTCAGAGCGAATTTCATTAGTTGAAAACAGTCAGAAACAGTCTACTAGTTTCAACCAATGAAATTCACTCTGACTGGTTTGTGAATTCTGCAGAAATAGACCTAATATCTATTGTTCTAGCAGCTATTAGATGAACTGGTGACGGCACAAACCTGAAATATTCTGTGCTCAGTTCAACTTAGTGCAACACAAAAAACAAACCTTCTATTCCCAAAAAAGGATATAGACCGGAATTACAGAAGCTCTGCATCAACTCCAAGATACAAATGCAGGACCTGCAAATCTGACTTTCCGTATTATAGAAGTAGAATGCATTTGCAAGGCGCCTGCAAATTTGCGCATGGTAAAGGCCCATCCTCAATCACTCTGGTAGCGAAGTGGCACTTTGGCACGCATGCTAGGATAATGTTGTTTAACGTTGGCATCCTCAATTCAATTCCGTGCTGGCATGCACGCCGACTCCGAAGTGCAAGATGCAAGCTTTTTTGATGCGTGCCGACTTATGTCATGCGCAGTACGGTAAAAAATAATTCAGGTTATCCTTGCGTTCGGTATTTTGCTCGAAGAGCAGAGCGGAGCTGTAATCACGTGACCAGCGAGCGCACAGAGCAGTTGAACGCTGTATCAGAAGGCTCAAAATTAGGGATGGCAAAAATATATCGATATTTTGTAAATATCGATATATTACTCAAATATATCGATAAATTTTAATCGATATTTTACATTCGATGTATCGAAAAAAATATCGATATAATCATTTCGATGTATCAGAAATTTTAAAATAATTCTTGGCTCGTGCGCATAGTTCATTTGTTGACTGTGACAGTCTGAGACTTCAAAATGGCGGCTAAAATAAAACAAACATCAGTTAGTCCGTGTACGTACCAACTGAATGCGGAAAAGAGACTTTCTGCATGATTATGGAACATTATTTTTCTACGATCGTGCGGAAAAGTACTTCTCCGCACGCATTTTAGGACATGAAAGTATCAGGGTGACCTAACATTGAAGAAATTATTACACTTTTCCACACTAGTGCGGAAAAGTTATATTTTCATGACCTAAAATGCGTGCAGAAAAAAAAACGCTTTTCGCACGCTAGTAGAAAAAAATAGGAAAATAAAACATATATCGATATAATCAAAATATCGATGTTTTTTGTTCAATATATCGAATATATCGATATGTTATTTCGATATATCATATGATTCGATATATCGATATATTTTTTTATTTTGCCATTCCTACTAAAAATTTTAATAATCGAACATGAATGAGCCTGCACCGAGTACACTTTTTAAATAAACGAACGATAAATTTATGCTCGGAGAACTCGGATCAAAATACTGAACACACGGTTCGTGATCGTACTACACGCACAGCAGACTGAAAATTGACAGCAATAGTTGTATTTCTTTCACACCTAGGAGGAGCTCCGGAACAGCTCCGGGGCTTCACGCGCTTATTCCTTTCGAAAAGTGTTTGTTGCACCACGCATATGTTCCCTGCAAATCAGGGGCGACTATGCACCGAAGCGAGTAGCTCAAGAGTTTCAAGCTCTTGAAAGGAATACAACTATTGAGGATGGGTATCAATTTCCCAGCAGTCAGCACGCGTGCCGAAGTGCCACTACTTCGCTACCAGATTGATTGAGGATGTAGCTTTAAACCTTAGATTATCCCGTAAGTTCTTGCAATTACTTTGACAAATTTGACATTTAGAACTGGTAAATCAGTAGCGCCCAAATGCTTTTTTTTTCGATAAATATGACAGAATTGCAGATCTTTTCTGTAATTTTCTAGTTCCTGCAAATAGAGCACATAATGCAAGTCAGCCATATTTGCAGAACTGCAAATTTGCAGATGCAAATATACTGTAATTGGGCCTGTCTGTGGTATTTGTTTTGACTCCGCTCTGACTGTACGGAACGCTTAAAAGACTGCACTATCTGCTCCCAAACGGTTCCGGAGTGAAAAGTGTCGAAGGAGATGTCAAGCTAGCGTACGAAGTCACTCTACTTACTCTAAAAAGCCTACTATGATTTCTACGATCAATTTTGAAATTTTGCTGGTTCAGGTAGGACAGGTTTTGCTGATGAGCACCAGTTTTTTTTTTTAAGTATTGCTACATTGACTTTATGATTGACTTTTACAATATTTTTATGAAGAACTTTGTATAAAATACTATAATAATAATTCTTTGTAGCTATTTTGTTCAGTTTGAATAATGGACGCGAACACAGCAGAAGATAATCCTCAAGTTCAAAGTTTAGAACGTTCGGATCAAAATGGATCTCAAGATTTGAATCTTCAAAAAATTTACAGGCAAGTATATAAATAAATTCACCCAAGTTATATAATAGATTTTAATTATGCTCCCAAAACCTCATTTGTAATAAGACATTGTATTTTATACTGTATCGTAAAATACACATTTACGCACTTGTGTTAGTCTGGAAAATGAACTTATATTCCATGCTGTATCGTAAAAAAAGTCACTTTTATATAGATACTAGTTGTCGTCGGTAAAATGAACTTTCACCGTATTGAGTCCTGTAATAGTTATTTATATCACTACTTCCATTACAGAGTAACGAGTGAGTCGTGGTAATCACACGTGTGGTGTAATAATGAGCGTTACCATACGTGTGATATACAACATTTTTTGTACGACCCAGTTTTTCGAACACAGCCAGTGGGTACTAACCAAGGATAATATTTACTACTATACCTTTGAAGTTCAAATCTCAATCCCCCCACCATGCCAAAGCACCAGTAATGACGTGGCGTGTCGTTTCTCGCCTTGGCGCAGGAAGTTTGCACCACAGGTTATGATTCGGCGGGCTTTTGCTTCATGCATACTTGGTTTTAGTACATTAATTAACGGAAAAGTTATTTTTCCGCACGATTTTTTCACTTTTCCGCAAGATTTTTACTTCTCCGCACGATTTTTATTTTTCCGCACGATTTTCACTTTAAGCACAATATTTTAATTCGAGATATAGGTACGTTATGTAACGTTTACAGCATTCGGCATTCGTTTCAAATTCCATCTCACTCGTACTTTAAAAGTTTTATTTTTCGGACTTGTAACGTAACGATCTATTACGGAGTTAGCACTAGGTCCGGTAAAATTTTCGCCCAGAAATGCTAAATTCAAACTACTGACAATGATTAACCGACCACCACTAAACAAAAATCTGTTTCCAAAGCATAATATACAGGTACCTACTTGGGTTTGGTACTGTACCCCAAACGGCACACAAAGTCTGAAAGACGCATTTTTTAGGTCTGCATTACGTCTGAACGTCTAAAGACGTCTAGAAAACGTTGCTTTGAAGATGTCGTAAATTCACTTCTCAAAGACCGAGCCGCACTATTTTGGTACATCCGGGCCTAAAAGTGAATAATAATTTATGTATTAAAAAGAGATTCAAAAACGTCTTTATCTCCGTTGAATGTCTTAGAAAAATGTCCTAAAAACGTCTTAAGGCAGACGTCGACGTTTGGGTCAGTAAAACATACGTCTCTAAGATGTCTTTAAGACGCTTTGAAGACGTAAGCAGACTTCTAGAAGACGCCTGCTTGCATGTCGTTTGTGAAAATCTTAGAGACGTCTTTATTAAAATGACTACAAACACTTCCCACAGAATTAGTTTCTCATTCAAGACGTTACTGGAAACCATTCCTCTAACAGCAAAAAATCAAAAAGATCTATATAGGGTCGTGGTGGCTTAGTTGGTTAGAACGTAGCAACGGTAATGCTGAAGACGCGCACTTTCTCTTCATTTTCAATTTCCACGCTTTTCAGTTGTTGTCCCCGACAAAACTTCATTCCTTTCAAAGAAATAAGTATTAGTTCTGAAGACGTCTTTAGGCAGATGTCTGAAAGACATTGAGTTTTGTAACATACGACGTCTTCAAAGACGCCTTGAAGTTAAACGTAAGCCGACGTCTGAACTGAACTGAATGTCGTTTGGGATGTCTTTAAGATGCCTGTGCTGTCTAGGTACTGTAGCAAAACGCACTCAAGTACTCTATCTAATTAGTTAGATGGTAAATGGCGAGCGGTATATTGATGGCGTTTATTTCCTTGAGCGGCTACCTATAAAATTGTGGAGGGGGTCTATTCGCAAAAGAGAGAAACGAACTATTGAGGTTTACTAAATTATATTTTATTATACTTGAAACCAAAATTAAAATAAAACAAAAATCTTTCTATGTCTGACAGCCACTTCTATTTTTCCCAATTCAAATTATTTCACATCCGTTCAAATTTCATTACTACGGAATTCTTAATAACTTATAAGTTTATACATTACTCTTTCAAACAACATTTCCGATTCACTGCTTATGCAGAAATAATTATTTTAAGTCATAATCCTATACTCACTGGATTAAGTGTACCTATATGTATTACCAACTATATTCTTATAAAAACCTCACGATAATTTCTAAATGAAAAAAAACCCTAATTCAAAATTTCAGCACTTAAGGTCAACAATCTCATTTCATGAACAACAAGTTTCTATTACATTTAACGGTTTATTCTTTTACTAAGGATCAATTTAAACAGAACAATTACTATTTTCGAATTCCTAGCCAACAACCCAATTAATTAATTCTTATTAGTTCGTTACTATAGCCCTTAAACTTCAATTTGGACAATCCAATTCAACATTCTTTAATAATTTCTACTCAAAATCGAATATTGTTAAGGGCATTATAATTTTCCTTTGTTAATTCTTTGCAAAATTATTTAAAATGTCATTATACTCGAAGGCAAATAAAGTTATGCAATAAAGTTTTTACAGTCAAATCACTCAAGTTTTTATGCATTAAAGTTCAATATCAATTCACTTCTTATCATTCCGAATCATTGTTAAAGTAAAAAAAAAAACAATGATAGTCACTATAGAGTACTTACATTTAAATTGTCACCCGATACTTAATTAATTTACTTCAAAAAATTAGCTAGAGCACGCACATAATGTTGAACGAATTTAAATGGCCTTTCTTTAATAAATTTTCGTTACTTTTCAAAGTTTAACGCGTTTCCCGAGGCAAAAATAAAAATAAACTCTCCGCGCATTTTATCCGCACTGACTCATCATTAGGTACTGTAGACTTAAAACTGAACTAACAACTCAAAACTCAACTGATCTTCCACTTCTAAAACCGCTGTATTTATATGTTTTGTAAATTACGGGTCTATTTTCCCGGGTCATTACAGTACTTTACAAACAGTTGCCGAGAAAGAAAAAATAGTGTAATACTTACGTACTTAATACGCTCGGAAAGTGTTTTCTTTTCGGACTTATAACGTAAATTATATCTATCAAGGCAATCTTATGCGAACTCAAATAAATTTGTTTTAATTATTTTAGGCAAGGAGATAAAATATATCAAGCACCAAACGAAAATATTACCATGATAAATAAAAATTTCCCAAAGGTAATAAACGAAATGTCAGAAATTCCTCGTGCTGATGCTGAAGAATCATTCGAAATTGATAAAATCGAATCTGGAGAATCGCTCGTTAAGGTTTAAAATTGCTATTATTGAACATTCTACTAATTTTTTTCTTGTATAGACTTTCACATTTGATCAAAAAATAAGCGAAGAAGAAACCGAAAAGTGCATAACATTTTGGCGCAGCGTGGTCGAAAAGCATTTGGAACCGATAAAATGTACCCTCATAGAAAACACCAAATCCAAAGCGGACGCTGCCACTCAAAAAAAGTCCACGGCCAATGGTAAACCCAGAAAAAAAAGTACCTCGATAGTCAAAGACTCGCTTGAAAGTCAAGTTTCAAAAAGTTATGAGAAGGGAAAAAATAAATGGAACGAGATAATACTAGAACTCCAAAAAAAGAAAATCGCGGAAACGAAAGTCAGTAGTTATAATAAGCTATACAGTCATATATTATAGGTAGTTCAAATATACTTTTCTTATAGTTACGACTAGAAAGAAAATGTCGATTTTGCGGTTATTTCAATTCGCCACCCTACGAATCACAGGATCCTGATCAACAGAACAAAGAAATGATTACTGAACTGGATGACTGGAAGCCAAAGTCATGTAGGCAATATTAATTCTCGAAAATGACATCATAATACTTTTGCACATCATATTTTCAGATTCGAAATTTTCAAAAAAAGGCTCGAGATGCGAGCAATATTCCGTATCATCTAAAAGAAAAAGTACAACGTCAGAACCAACCACGATTGGAGAAAGTCCTGGCTTGGAGACTGTTCCAGAAACAAACGAAGAAATTAGAAAATGCGTGAGTAGCTTTCTTATAATGTTTTCAAGTGTATAATTTATATTTCAGCAAGAGGTATCAGAGAAACAAAAACTGGAACAAATAAGACTGGCTTCCTTAAACATCCAACATGTCGATCTGATTGCAGAAAAGAAAAAATCCGGAGCATATTCACAATGGAGAAAAAATAATTTAGCTCCTTGCGAATGCAATCAAGTAAATTGTGATTGTAATACAAATCCGGCAATTGAAAATATTACATTGGGTACTGAAAAAAAAATTCTAAAAAAAAAATTCTTATTGATTTTTTATTCTAGATTCAGCTTCGAAGCAAAATCGGAAATCAAGTGTATCAAAAGCAGCTTCTAAACAACAAGAAGTAGTAATACAATGTATTCCAGAAAAAATACCAGAAATTGAGGCTCATCCTAGTCCCATAGAAGTTTGTGTAGAGTCGTCTGATCCTGGTATTATATAGGTAATATAAAAAAAAATAGGGAAAATTAAATTTGAGAATAGTTTTAGATTTTTCAACACAAGAAACCAAAAAGGAATCCATGGATCTTTCTAGCAGTATTAAGCAAGAATCAAGAAGAGAAGTAACCATTTCTGTGGATGGCAAGTAAATTTTAATAATAAATAAGAAATTATCAATTTTTCGTTTGGATACTCTATAGAACCCAATAGACTTTTGATTACATCTCAAGAAATGCAAGCTGATGATGATGATGATGATATACCACTGAAAGTTTCGGAGCCACAAACGGAAACAAGCGATAATGAACTTAATAGAGGCATATCCCAAACAAATTCACCTACTAGATCAAGTACATACATATATTTTGGATTCAAAATGAATCATTTTACATAACCAGATTTTATAGTGCTTTCAGATCTACACAAAAGAAGTATATTAATATCAGAAGGAGATAAACAACGTAAGAGAAGTAATTATTCTGGCAGATCTGCGAGATCTTTGTCTGTTATGATACAATGCACCTGTAGCTATGAAAACTGCGATTGCAGAGGTGCCATAAAGGTACTAAAGCAAAGTTTCCAGACATGCGCCAATCCCAATAAACATATTAACACAGATAGATAACAAAATTTTGGGTCGCCAACCTCTAGGAGAGTGATCCACCTCCAAATTGGTTTCCACCTCTAATGCATTCCCACCATGATTCATCCCATAAGGGGTCTTTTCATCACAACAAACATCAGTTTAAGAATGAGATATATGCGATGTCTATCTGTGTTAGGATGTCATATTATTGCCAAAAATTAATTTCGCAGCTCCCAGAAAAATCAATATTATCTGATGAAGAAATTGACATACCAAAACCACCAAAGTCTCAAGCAAGCCTACGAAGAGTTAATTCTCTAGAGATCATCAAGAGAAGATTAAGTTCCGCAACTGCAGTTTCAGATACACAGGTCCGCATACTATACAATTAATTGAATATAAATAGATTTATTTTAGGCTTCTCCAAAATTTGGAGCTTCAAAATCTGAATTGTCAAGACGTGGATCAGAAGCAAAAAGTGTTGATTCTTTGGAAATCGTTAGGCGCAAATTAAGCAAAATATCTCCTGACAAAAAAGAGGATGATGAGCAGGATGAGGAAGAAGTGGGTTCATCGAGATCTCGTACTGTATCAATCTCATTTAACGTTTGAAAGTTCTTTACATCTCGAATATGAAATAAATAGATGACTACATATACCTAGTTAGAACTTGATTATGATTCCATTTTCTTCAGCAAAAATAGCTATATTTTTCAAGTGCGTAAAGAAATGCTTTACCGCACGCAAAGGCGTGCTTTACGTTGGTGTTATTTTTTTCACGTCCAACACTTTCTGAAGCTGAAATTTTTTACTGGGGATTCCCCAAAACTGAAAGTTGACTTTTTTCGGGTACAAGCTAATTCGCCTTATTAGTATTACTCCCTATGTGTTTAGTAGCTTTTATCCGGTCTGTACATAAATTGTCCATGATAAACTAGGTGTTATGAACCAATAAGATAACACAGTGATTATAGGAACATTTAATTATATCTCTAATTTTCTATTATATTTACTATGTATTTTGCAGAGAGGCCTGACCATGCCTTGTCGGCTCAATATGGCTTTACCTTTCGGACCCTTGTTTTATATCCCTCTATTTTCATAAACTGTTAAATTGTCGGAATGATGTCCAATAACTATTTACGTGCCCGAATAGGGTTTAGTTTTTATTATTGTATAAACTTCCCAAAAAAATCCCAAATCATTAAATATTTTAGCACCAATATAAGTAACATCTGTAAAATAGCGTTAAGGTACTTTCAGTGAATAACTAGAGGAACTCCCGCCCTTTCGAAGGAGGTTCCAGGACGTTTCCTTCTTTCAGGAAAGAAGACGAGAAGACATTCAGAATTCCATCTTGACTCTGACAACATCTAAAGTTACCTCTCATAACTGACAAAGTGTCCTTCCCAAAACTTATAAATTTTCACAAATAAACGAAACCTTTTTTTATTAAATCAAAAGATATAGTTTTAATTCTAGTGTAGGTATATTTGGGATAAAAGTCACAGTTCTTGTGGCTCAACTCCTAACATAGGTAAAAAAAGTCAGTGTATTGGTACATCCATGTTATATTCATGTGGTGTAAAGATTCCTATCATGAAAACCAACGGAAACAAAATAATAATTCAACGATTTATTAAAAATACAGGTTCAAATAATACAAAACAAAATATTCAAACTGTTTGTTTGAGTAAAGGTTGGCAACTGTGAAAAGTACGTTTCGGTCTGAAGTGAAGGGAGAGGAAAAAAACGATATGGAAATACACAGTTGCAATGAAATAGAGCGAGATAGAAATATTAGTTCGCGTATTTGCCGCCGGCAAATTCACGCTAGTCGCGCTATAGGTTTAGTGAAAACAACAAAAACATAAAACACACAAGTTTGATATTAAAATAAATAGTTAGAACTGTGGTAAGAGCTATAAATAGGACTTGCCGTTTTCTCTTCCCATTGCTCCTTGCATTCCTCTCCATTATTTTTTGTCTGTAAAATGGTCTGTCAAGTGACTTCCCTTATGTCTATGCTCCAAAACCAAGATTTCAGGAAACTCAAGGATAATACACACTACATAGGATTGCTTGTCGGCCTCGTTTTTGGAAATGGGTTGCCTGGATAACTCTATAACGTCATCTAGGGTGCCCTAGCATAATGCAAATCTCCAAAAGGCACCCCAGATTCGTCATCAAGTTACCCATCACCAGATAACCTTGGGAACCTCGTCAAGACGTGAAGCGACACGATGTCTACGTCATCACTGCTGTTTTGGCATGGTGGGGGCTTTAGATTTGAACTACACAGGCCTTATGAGGATAGGCTATCCTGTAGTAGTAGTGTTTATTATCCTTGCAAGAAACTGAGGTCCAAAAGTATCCAGTTCTCCAGAAACCAGAGTAATTAGTAATTTGATTACTTTCGGATCGCGTTTCTGTCGTTGCCACATCTTTATTTTTGGTTAAGAAGCTATGATCAGGAACATTAACCCTCAGATTTGACCCATTTGCGAGGGGCGTTTCACCCACTAAGTTTTGTACACCTACTGTATTTGACTGCATCAAAGATGATAGTTGACTGCATCGACTTTTGAGCAATACCTATCAAGATTGCAGCAGGCTCCACTAGCAGCGACTGCTTACAATTTTTCGCGAATATATATGGAATGTATGCTAGGAGGGTACGGAATTTATAACAATTGCAAGCGACTGTATTATGACTGCATGCGACTGTACTATGACTGCCTGAGTCCATGTATTCCATTGACTGCATGAGAATATATGGATTACAGAATATGTATGGATGCATGTACATGAATGTATGATATTTGTACACCTACTGCATGAATGCACCTCTCGCCCATTTCCCAGAATCACTATTCACAAAAAAATAATTATACTCGCTTCTCGAAAGTGTGTAAAAACGTGTAATTTGACCAGCATGTCATGTAATTTCACAAAATCCGATTGGCAACACATTTATGCATGCTGTACAAAAACTTGAACTTACGAGTTACACATATGCAGTTTTGATGTTCCCTCTATTATAGACAGTTTAGTCCTATAAATTAAAAAAAAAAAAAAAAACATCAGGATAAGGAACAAAATAGTATATTAATTTTTTCAGTCCTGTATACAGCAAAAGTAAGATTTTTTGATTATATTAATATGATTTGAAAGTTGTGGTAGGGCCGTAAACAATTTCCAACAATAAGGAAACAATTATAAGAGGAAAAGCCAATAAGAATTGAAAAATAAACCTGCATTCAATTCTAAAAATCATATTTTTTTTATCTTATTTGGATTTTCAAAAGGCTTTAATATCAAATAAATAAAAAAGATGCACAAAAATGAAAAAAACATTCCAAAAAATTATAATAAAGCTTAAACTATCCAACTAAAGGGCATTTTTATTTGTAAACATAAATACATTTTTGTTCACAAAAAAAAAATAATCCCATTATATCCAATAGGATATTAATTTTAAGTGAGCTGCATGCAGAATGAATTGTATCATCCCTATTTAAATGCCACTTTTTCAACAATTTGCTGCTTCCTATATTAAAGGTAGTTCTAGTTACAAGGGTATGTCTAAATTATGTTTCTCGATGTAGAGCCGCCTCGCTGCAGCAATTAGTTGTTCTTTCCTTTCTTGGAACGACCGTGTACGTTCAGTAGCATTTTTGCCAAAAGTCGATGCACCCATATTCATTTGGGCGGGAGATGGAGTGCTGTTGCTTGTAGAAGCCACATTCCCATAAGAAGTTGACGTTGACGGTTGTTGATTGGACACTGAGGACGTTTGAGGTGTTGAAGTTGTTTGTTCTGGAATAAACCGGACTCTGCCCTCTAAGATGTTGGTGATTGTAGTGTCAACACTACGTGTTACAGCTAGAGAATAAATAAGTTAACTTGTTGCAAAAATTATCAGATGATAACTTACACAAATCATTATAGATTGCTGAGAGTGGCACATAAGGCAACACCTCCTTAACTAAACTAGCCATTCTGACCAATTCTGGATTAGGAAGACGATATTGAGCATTAGCTCTTTCAATATTGCGCCTCCTTGCTTCTGCCATCTGCCTCTTAGTCCATTCGGACACATCTGAGGATGAGAAACCAGTAGCTTCAATCTAAAAATTACAATTACGTATTAATTATACAAACAAATGTATAATTAGATTACCTTGAGTTCTGATGCTATATTCTGCCTAACAATATCAGCAAATTCATCTTCAGATAAACTTTTTTTTTCCATAGAAGGTAAAAATTTGACTGTGTAGTTAGTAAAAGGAGAAAACATATAATATAAGATATCATTTATGTATGTAGATCCTAATGTGGAAATGGAAATATCTAAGAGTGGCCTTTTGATTGTAATACATAGTGGCTGTACTTTTTGAAAGAAGCTAAAGTATTTTGAGTTGAATTTCAAAAGGGCTTTTCCATTAGTAGCTGACTCTTCTGCAAAAACAAATTAGGTTCCCAAATTCAGATTACCCTAAAAATTATACCTGGACAAATTAATACTGGAGCTTTCTTTTCTTTTGTGGTTTTTTCAAGTTTTGTCTTAAAAGCTTCAGTGCTGTTCACAGATCCCAAATCTGTAGTTCCCAAACCGGGAATGCTTTGAAATGGTGTCTTATTTATTGGCTATTAATGAAACAATTTTTAAAAAATTTATTGAAGTAAATTTTTTTATGCTTACCAAAAGTTTTCCAATAGCTTTGCTTATTGCTACATGGTCAAACATTGATAAACTATTGGCAACAAATACTTCAACGTTTTCTTTCTTTTTACTGTTTTCAACAGAGACTATTATGCCAAAGCATAGAAGGGCAAGATTGTTTAAGAATGATTGAATAGGTGGTGAATCTGGGAGAATCTGAAGTACACAAACATTATTAAATTTTTGATTTTATAATGTATTAGGAAAACAATCACTAACCTGGCCAAGAATAAGTAAAACTAAGGTCAAGGTGCATCTTAAAAGTAATAATATTATGCCCAGTGGTAGATATAGGACAGCAAGTAGGATTTTCACTTCATTATCTGGAAATCTGCAAGAGTTAAAAATATATTAATTTGTGTATCCATGAGCCTTGAATTGAAGTTCTGACTAATTTTGGCGCTTCATATCTTTCCCTTTGGCTTCAAATTTGAAACCTACTTTTAGTTTTCTCACTATAAATACTGTGAAAAACTATATTATTTGTTTGGCTGGCCTAACTTATAGTACAAGAGCCAGTGATAAAAAATCCGGCTGATTTTATTATGGCTGAAAAATTTAGGGAATGTAGAATCAATCATAAACAATACGAAATCGCGTGCCTGCCTGTTCGTATCGGTTACGTTTATTAATAAAAAAATGTCTAACGAGGTTTTGTGAAAGCAAAAAACCGACTCATCGCGTTTTGCATGAAAATTTGTGTGAACATAGAGCAAACACCCCCAAGTATGATATCACAGTTAAAGGCATTAGAAGAACATTTCTGACTGCCTGCCCGATCAAAGCCGTTGCTTTCTAATGCCTGCCAGGTGTCAAAGTTCGCAAAGTATAAAAATATGCCAGGTGGAATACTCAAATTCACAAAATAAAAACACATGGACCGTGCCGACCCAGAGATGCTTTTAATGCAGCTGTGACAAGACGTGACTGCTCCAGTCGTTTTGTAAAAGTGGATGAGCTTCCTGACATTATTTTTCAGCTTCAAAACCTACTCTTCCCATTTCAAGTGCTTATCACCCCAAGGTACTTTATGTGAGGGACCTCCTTGATTTCACTCTGGAAATTCTCCACGTAAATGCCAGAGTAATCCGGTCGATTTGCCATAGTGAGTGAAAATGCTACATATTTGGTCTTTTCAATGTTGAACGTAAGTTTTTTATTGTCTAGCCAGTTTTTCACTTTAATTATTTCCAGTGATGTTAGTGGGTCATGACCAGCGCGCATGACGTCGGGTCATGACCGTCACGTCACATTCAATGTGACCGTTGGTCATGACTATTTTACCGCATAGTGTGGAAATATGCAGTAAAGTAGACTGCATAATATGCGGTAAAGTAGATTCGGTGTTTAAGTACACTCAAAAATCCCTTCTCGTTCAGAAATTTCAATAATTCCTTCTTTGGGAGATATTAGGCCTATTCGGGTTTGGAAAAAGGACGGTTCTAGAACGGTTCAAAACAATCGTCCAGTTTATTGATCAACAAAATAACAACGACTCGACTATTACAAATTTCAATAATAAACTGGGCGATTCTTCTGGACCGTTCTAGAACCGTACTTTTTCCAAACCCAAATAGGCCTATAGATGCTCATAGGTATAACCTAACACATGCGGAAAATGCCTTTACCGCACTTAACGACTGCTGCTGCGTGCGGTAAAGTATCACTTCTGCATTTGTTAGGTGAATAACTATTATTTTTGTTATTTTATTTTACCTGCTAGGCTAAGATAGCTTTTATTCACTTATTTTGTAATTTGTTGTTGTTTCTTCTGTTCTGGAATCCTTAATAATTTGTCAAAACTTTATAATCAATAATTGACTATCCTTATTTCAAAACCATTTGTGACTTAATAAGACGATAGACTGTAGGTAGTGGCGTTTTAAATTGAATTAACTATTATGAACTATGACCATAGTCATGACCGTCATGACACGTCATGACACGTCATGACGTAAATGACCGTCACGATTTTAAATGACCGTCATTTTACATCACTGATTATTTCACTACTGGCCATCCTTCTCACATCACCCCAAGTGTTTCCTGAGAAAAGTGGAACGGTGTTGTCGGCGTAAGATGTTACAGAGCCCTGTATTTGCATGTTAGTTATAGAGTTTATATATTTATTTATTTATTTACGTATAAGAGAAATATATTTGAAGTTGAACAGAGTTTAAATCTAAAAAAATCTAACCTAAAACAATTCTCCTGGCCTTCGTCTTAAATTTATCCAGAGATAAACCAAAGAACTCAAGGCCCTCACTGAACTTATTTACATTGGCAGATATTCTATTCACAGGACTGAATAGTAAGTACCAGGGTTCGGCAGTAAGGAATGTGCAGTAAAGATTTACTTCGTGTCTGATAACTTTCAATGTGTAAATTAAAACATTCAAGACATTCGTGGCTTTTTATGTGAGAATCACACCACTCAAAGAAAGTTTGTACTTTGCAAACTTGATGAATATATGGTTCATACCAAATAAACTTGTTGTTGTGACATCGATGACGCCATTTTTAAAATCGATATCGCCAACCGTGAAAATATTCGGCGTCGGATTGACTTAATTGGAATTTGAATTTCCCGCTGGCCATTCAGTTGGTAACACCATGTCAAAAAATGTAACGTTGCCAAATTAAATTCTTGACATTTTGATTGTATTTTGGCAGTTTACGAGTTTTTGGTTTGTGCTGTTAATTGTGACCTTGTTTTTTGAAATCAGCTTGTAGTGCGAAGTGTACAAGATGCCGAAGCAGCTTAACAGCCGTTGCAAAGAACTAATCGCATCCTTTTTACAATATTTCGAACGAGAACGCGATAATAATGACCCTTAGGGGCTGATTCTGTAACTTGTCGTTACTTGACGACATCGTTGTGGTAACGACTTTGATGTGAACGATATTTTCGGAAATCGTATTCCATAACCGAGTCGTTACGTTTAACTTTAGTGACAAATCGTAACGACAAATATCGTGTGATTTTACGAGGGTTGGTAGTGCTGATTTAGCATAAGCTAACTTCATTTAGCTGTAACTGTCAGTTTTCGGCCAGTACCTGCCACTCTTTTCAGATTAGTTTTCAAATTAACTGCCTAACTGCGCAAAATTATCATCCTCCAAATAGCTGCGTCGTGAACGCTCCCTGGAAACTGAGCATTTATGGCCAATATTTTACAATTAGAATCGCAAAATATTTGACAGTTTATGCTGTAAAAGTTCTTCCGATTCATGAAAACGTTCGGTGGATATTCAAGGTCTTCACCACTTGGTGGAACTATTTTTATGTGAGAACAATCAATACACCCGATGATGCCAGGTACATGAAACTTGCGATAGTATCCGTTTGTAACTTCTGCTATATGTTGAACATTTTGGGGGAATTGGATGTATGTGTTAGCCATATGGTTAACCATAGCATTAACCACTTCATGCAAGCACCGGCTAACGTTAGCCTGCGATGATCCGTTAAACGTGTCTTCACCCACAGATTTTTGGTAGCTGCCATGAGCTAAGAAATGAAGCGCTACGAAGAATCTAACTACAGGTGGTGTTCTGGTTCTTCTCACTCCAATATCAAGGTGCGGCAATATTTCCTGGAAAAAGTCATAAGCCGCCTAAACATTAAGCCGGTACATCCTCCTAAAAACGTTCTCGGGCAATTCAAAAGGATTACTATTATCTCTCAACTGGCGGAACGCATTTCTTCTTTGCTCTCTGAAAAAACGGATAAAAAAGTTCCAGTAAGGGTTAGGTAATTTTTTTATTGTTTTGACGAACCTTTTTTGTAATTCAACCAACATGTGATCTAATAAGTCGTCCTTCGTCGATATTTTATATTATTTAACACTTTCTCTCATTTTTAGCGGGTAGCAGAGGCTTTGAACTTAAGTATGTCCACTGTCTGTGCTATTTCAAAGGCAGTAAAAAATAATGAAGATTTGGAATCGCCTTCTAAGAAACGATGCACTTCGAATAAGAGAGTCTGTGATGTTTCAAAGCTCGATAGCAGTGCTATACATAACACTATTTACGATATGTGTATGAGAAGTAAATCGTTTGAGACAAAGGTACATATAGATATCTATGAATCACCTTTTTTCTTCTTGTAGAACAACATGTAACATTATCCTGTATATGGGAGCAATTGAAAGACAAACAATTATTTGATGGCAGTAGCATGCCATTGAGTAGAATCTTAAAAGAAATAGGCTTCAAATGGAAAAAAGATGACCCAAGACGAGGGCTCATGGAACTTCCTGGGACTTTATTCTCGAAACAGGGGAGCAGCGTTCTCATGAGAACGAAGGCTCTGTCTTCGTCGTCCGTATTCATATTTCCATAACACTGACAATGACAAAGCAATCGTTCTCATGAGAACGCTGTTCCTCGGTTTCAAGAATAAAGTCTCTGATATTGCTGTTAAACGCATATCATTTTTAAGGTCTTATCTAAGACTGAAACAGGAGACTTTGTACCAGTTTGTTTTCTTGAACGAGACTTGGATTTTTCAAAATGGTACTATTAACCGTGGGAAGACAACAACAAGCGAAGTGTTAAAACTACCAAAGTTGATGGTATAGGTAAATTTAAACATGAATACAGAGAGCAGTGTATTATATATACAAAGAAATGCTTTTTCTAGATATATCATACCTACTTCATGCTGGCACTGAAAATGGATTCATTGAAGGTACATCGCTTGTATATTCATCGAAAACTCAACGACTATCATGAAGAAATTAATCAGCAAAACTTTTTATGTTGGTTCGAAAATCAGCTGTTGAAGAACTTGAGTGAACCATCTGTCATTGTTATAGACAATGCTCATATGGCATACGCTCTTCCACTTCAATAGCATACATCCTTTCACTTATCAATATTGATGAAGACTCTAGCGATTTCAGAGATTTCAGTGATCCAGAATAATTGAAAATCTTCTTGATGGATCAAATATTCATAATATTTAATAAGATATTTATAGTATTTAGAGTGGCTGTAAATAAAATAGGTACTGAGCGTTATTATTATATTTTATGTGATGATTGAAAATTGAGTTGTTATTAAATATCTATAAAACCAAGCTTTGAAGCAATGCTTATAATTTAAGTAATAAATGTTTGCATTATATTATAATACAATCCATTATTGTTTCTGAAAATATTTTGACCAAAGGAAAATATGGAAGAGACGGCAACGCTGTGCCGGCCGAGCTTGACAACCCGACTATAAGTTTATTTGGTATGAACTATATGCGATAAGCAGTATAGGGCCCAGAACTGTACCTTGTGGAATTATTTTAATGTTTAGCATATCACTATAGGTGTCTCT